AGACTAAATAGAAAATACGTTCTGCCTTCCAGTCGATATACGGCCGAAGCAACGTAAATTTATCGCGCGGCAAATCGAATTTAAGATGGATTTTTAACACTTGATTAACCAGTTTTCATTAGAGATGTCTAGAAATGCTTTGGAAAATGTTACTTTTCTTTTAAAATAGATGACATGACGATTTTTTTAAAATTTATACGCAATTGACAAAAGTTTCATGAAAAATTAATTACTTGCTAAAACTGACTTTATCTTCAAATGAAGCTCTCTCAAAGTGCAAGAACATTTCGGTCCGTTGATTATCAACTTTTCAGCGCGGATATTTTTTGAGACCAAACAATAAACAAATTTCGAGAGGAATTTTGTAAAATTTAAGAGGGAGAAAGACTTGCAACGAAGGGGAAGTTTTAGTCGCCCACCCAAGTAGGAGCCACACACATCAGAGGTCACAGCAATAAAGACACGCCAAATAATCGCCCTTTTGGCTTAGTTACATTAAAAAGACATATTAGGAAATTCAAAAAAGATAATTTTCGCCTTGAAGGTTATACTTTACAAAATTTACTCTATTCAGGGCTCTGTATTTTGGTTGTTTGTTCAACAATGCCATAGCAGGTGGTTTAGAGCCTTAACTAAAAAAAAACCAACAATTTTCTAGATCTTCATAAACAGATTTTAAAAAATTGCTGCATAGAAAGGAATAAACTAGCCTTAGTTTTCCTTTAGGTTCAAAGTTGCTTAGAGAGTTTTGTTTTTTTAGAAATACTATTTTGGATACAGATACGTCTTATGTAGCACTGTGTAACAAACGTCACACGTTATAATACCTGTCGGATTTTGCATTAGCTCTTGTCGCGATTTCTAATTAAATGCTGTTCCACTTTGCACCCACTTTAGTTTTGAACATCATTGATGTTATTTCTGTGACCAATAAGTTTTTAAGGAATGGAAAATCGTGGTCGATTTTTAAGTTGAAACGATAAGAAAAAATTAACGAAAATATTGAAGTTCTTTCAAGTAAACACAAGACAGTGAAACGGTTGGTTCGTCATTAAACAGCTGTCAGTCATTTATGTAATTTGCGCTGAATACACTACTAAACTGAATACGATAGTGAAGTGCCGCTCTCGCTAAGAACGGTCCACTCGACTTCCCGTCGGAAAAAGTTTCCTTTTACTCTTTGCCTATGAAAAGGGTTTAGGACACATGTAAACTATGTACTGATATGATTTTTAGACCCATTAACGCCTGCATTTTGAGAATTCTTTCGTACAGACTGGTTAATTTTTTATATGCAAATTAAGGTCGAAGAGAAGGGTCTCCTCTGGTCACACTGATAGGTGAAGTTTCCATATTTTGTCTGTGAACTAGCTGAATACACCTCGTAACTTGTAGCAAAATAGAATTCCACGAGCTATATCATTGCAGTCGATAGGCGCTGAACAAAATCTGTGAAATCTACACTTTCGCTGTCCTCACGGGCGGTCTAGCCAAAAATTATTTTTGGCTTGTGGCGACGCAAAAAAAGAGAATTGGACAACAACTAAACTATTTTTAAGCATGTGTCCTAAACCCTTTTCGTAGGCAAAAAATAAAATGATGTTTTTTTTTCCAAAGGAAGTCGAGTGCACCGCTCTTCGCGAGAGCGGCATTTAACACATGGTTAAGAACACGTAAGCTTGACGATAGAGTTTCCCTGCTTGAGCTGCTTGACAGTTAACGATACGCATGAAACCGTCTTCTCCGCTGCGTTTTTACGAATGAAGATTCCTACTTAACAAGTTCTATCTTTATCGACTAAAATATCGAGCTGTGTCAACTGAATTGGTCAACGTAAATTTTGGGGCGATTCTGGTTTTCTTCCTAAGAATTACAAGTTGGTTGTTTACGTAGATACCAAGGCGCCTAAGAGATTGTAATTTGAATAGAAAAAAAGAAAAGGAAAAATGACAAAAGAAAAGAAAAGAAAATGTTGAGTTTCCAAAATGTTACGGCCCAAATGTCATGTAGAAGCGACATAAGCCAACCAGAGTTTTCAAATAGGTTTAAAGCTGTTAAGATTGCAGGGCAAGTAAAAAAATCCGATATTTTCTACCGATGGAAAAAACAGTCGTAGTGTGAAAATTACCTCGTAATAAAAAACATTTTATTTTTAAGAAACTGAAGATTCATATTTAAGTCTGAAAATTTTCTTTTTAAAGCAATTTTATGGTAAAATAATCTCTTGCATCAGATTGTACGTGGAGGGATAAGTCTGAAAGCTAACTGATTTATCTTTTAGCCATCTTTTACGAACTACCTTAATACCAAAAGCCCTTTTAATGCAGAAGGCTGCCATGAAGATCTAACTGTAACATTTTTCCGTTATTTATTATGTTATCAGTGGAATCACTTTAAAAGGTTTTTTTTGTGTTTCATTAACTAACGGACTGAAAATCATAGTGTTTTTTTTTTTTTTTTTTATTCATTTATTTATTTTTTTTTTTTGTGCTGACTCAAAGTGTTTTAAGGTGCAATAATAAATTCTGTAATATCTGATATGTATTGCTCTAGCAGTAGTATTCCCGTTTCTAATCAGAGTGTAAGTATTTCTTTCGCTCAAATTCTGATCACATTTTTCCTTATGAATCCAATTCCTTCCAGATTTTGGCTGCCGAAGTCTTAGGTTTAAGAGATCAGAAGGAGAACGTGCCCCTCAACGTTACGTATTTAAAGAAATTTACTAGCCAATGGGGGAGGAGCTCATGACTCATGACTGCAGATATGAGTGCCTCATCGAGAGCAATTGTTTGTCTGTGAACATCGGCCCACCAAACGAGACAGGCTTCAGGCTCTGCCAACTGAGTAGTTTTGACCGCACCCAACATCGTGAAGATAAAGAAATACGAAAAGGTTTTATTCTTATTTATTATTATTATTTATTTTTTATTCTTATTTATTATTATTATTATCTTTATTTATTATTATTATTTTACATTACAATACAATCGTCTGAAATCAGCTTGATTGTTTTTGGTCAAGTATAATTACTAACAGGCGTTTTTCTATCCTATCAGAATTCGTGCTCCAGTAATCCCTGTCTCCATGATGCCACCTGTCTCAATGGATATACCGACAAGAGATACATTTGCCTGTGCACAGATAGTTACACGGGAGAAAACTGTGAAAAAGGTCTGACTAATATTCTTTTTTAATGTTCTGAAGGTTCTTCATCCAGCTTGCGGACAACTTTATATCAGTCCTCATTGTTTTCTTTGTTTAGATAAAAACGAGTGTATTGACAACACTCATGACTGTCATGCCAAAGCTGTTTGTAATAATACCGAGGGATCATTTACCTGTAGCTGTATAGAAGGTTATCAGGGGGACGGTCGGAATTGCACAGGTGAGATTCATAGATATTCCTAGAGACATATTAATAATAATGAAATATTTTTATAGCACCATATCCAATGGCTCATGGCGCTTTACAAAGCCTTGTTTGGGACTTTGGCCAGACTGCATTGAGCAGTTTACAATTTTTGAAGGAAATTTTTGTAGATGCCCACATTTTAAGAATTAAGGCCAGACCACAACACTGAGAGCTATGTTCCCTTCTCTCTGCGATATTTGTATAAATCATTTAACGTCCCCCATCGGCCTGTACAGAAGAGATGCGGGAGAAGGGGCGTACGGTTTTTTCGTCCTCATCTGAGAAGACTGAAATGTCAAATCATTTGCAGACGCCAGAGCAAAGGTAGCACATTCTCCTCAGTAATTTTAAGACCGTGATCATGAGTGTTGGTCCGGTTCGGGGCGTGAACTCTCGACCTCCCACACAGCAGCCCGGCGCTCTACAAATTGATCAAACCATTGGCAGTTATCATCAGCCAACTTTGAATGAATTCCAAGTTAAAAACATATTAAATGGGGAAACTTTTTCAACTATAATCGATCACTGGTTCTCGAACGTAGGGAGAAGACGGTCCAATGACAACCCTTTTCGTCTCTTCAATTTCGCTGAGAGTGATAAATCTGAAGACCAAAACAGTCATTGCTGATATGCATCATCATCATTGACCAACTAGTAGCTAGAGGTAGTGGGTTCGAATCGCGTACGAGCCTGAAAATTTCTTAAATAGTCTACGATAGTTTTTTATTGCAATTTGTTCTTAGGATTTCTCTTTATTTGATGATCCTATCCTCTTCTCGTTTACTTCCAAACTTTTTAGATGTGGACGAGTGTACCAGCCACATCCATGACTGTCACTATAATGCAAGTTGCAATAACACAGACGGGTCTTACACATGCAAATGCAAAACGGGATTCAATTGCAGTAAGTATAAGGAATGTTGTGTGTTTTTTTCTTTTTTTAAAAGTTTTTTCGGAAGTTTAACTCATAACGATTTGCGTGATCCCCTTGAAACGGTGCCGGAGATAAACTCTAATAAAATGTGCGTTTAAAACGAATACTTACCTCAATCATTGCAGTTCAGACAGGTACTTTACCATTCGATGTAAACTGTTACAACGGGAAATACTCATCCTAAGTACTATGCAAGCACACCTTCCCTCTACCAACACTGAAACACTGAAACAACCTGAAATATACGAAATCGAGTTCGTGCGGATTACATTTAATGGGCTTAAGATTATATCGTGATAATGACCACGAACTAAAAAAGACGAGTTTTTCACAAATTGCGCAGAAGTTGATATGTTTACACAGGAAATTCACCCAAAAAACTTAATAACGATCAGTGCTCAGAAATTATTTTCGTCACGAGAAGACTCTCCTGTGATAAATAACGCGTACCCCATATTTTCCTCCAAATTGTCGAACTAATTTCAAATTTCTTTACAAGAGTAGGAAAACTTAAGATCTGAACTGCCCTTAACGTTACCTATTTGTTCTCTCAGCTGTTTAAACTGATCATAATACCAGCTGCCAGACTAAACATAAGCATTCAAGATAAAGATGAAATTATAACTTAATTTAAAAAATGGATGTCAACTTTACATTTTCCTTTCAGCATTCAAAGCCGTGTTCTCAAATCTCAAAGCCGCTGGAAGATATGGTCCAACATCGCTCGGAAGTTGCTACGCAGGTCATGATCATGACGGACAAGTTGCTTTGTCCAGCGGTATTCAACAGTGGACTGTACCGTACACTGGTGATTACAGAATAGAAGCAATAGGAGCAGCTGGAGGGTACGATCTACGGATTAACAGCCCTCACTACCGCGGAAGAGGAGCAAGAATCATTGGAACATTCCGCTTAAACAAGAGTGAAGTCATCCAGGTACTTGTAGGTCAAGAAGGAGGAATAAACAAGCAGAGGAAGTCTTCTGGAGGTGGTGGAGGTACATTTGTAGTGAGAGGAGCCAACACACCTTTGATAATAGCTGGAGGCGGAGGAGGGGTAGCACGTTTATATTCAAGACATACAGAATGTGACGCCAGCTCAAACACGACAGGGAATCCTGGGCACAGATCATGGCCAGGGGGGAGCAATGGACATGGTGCACAGATTGCTGATTCTGGAACATCAGGTAAGAATATTTTTCAATGATCTTTCTGATTATGGATTTTCAGGTAAAAGTATTTTTTAATAATCCTTAGCATTTCAGCATTTTGGTAGTAATTCAAAATTTTCGTACAAAATGTTTATTCTGCAATAATCTTACAATATCTCCATTAAAAGTTTTCTAATTTAATTAATATCATGATATTTCAGGTGGTGGTGGTGGCGGGTTTTACTCCAGTGGAAGAAGTGGAAAGAATTTCAATGGCACCAAGGGATATGGAGGAGAGGGTGGTAAGGGATTTCTGCAGGGAGGGGTGGGTGGGAGATCACAGTATCTCGAAGTCTATGGTGGGTTTGGCGGAGGAGGTGGACCTAGTGGATGGTGGGATGAAGGAGGAGCAGGAGGAGGAGGAGGATACTCTGGGGGAGGCAGTGGAAGTGATTATGTATATACCTGTGGGGGTGGTGGTGGATCCTGCAATGTTGGAAACAATCAGCAGAATGAATGTTGTTACAATAAGGCTGGTCATGGTCAGGTGATCATCACATTACTGTAGAGAAAACAACCAAACCCTTTGCCATCCAATGCATAGATGATTTTAACCCTTTAAATCTCAAGATCTCATCAGTGATTCTCGTTACTGTCTGCCAAATGATTCTCATTATCTTAGCTTGGAGAATCTGATATCAGATAAATTAGTAATCCCACAATTTATATTTGTCTTTATTCTCATCACTTGTCTGCATGATATTGTACGGAAATAGTAAGGAGAAATTCTGTCTTGATCACTCATGGGAGTTAAAGGGTTAATAGAGATTAGATATGACAACAAGTTAGATAATGTTATGGGGCTTGAATATTCATAATGATTAGAGTAAGAATCTTGAAGGGAAAAACAGCTCATGTTATTCTACATTACAATTGGCGACAAAGTTGTTGATACATTACGGTTGAAAATCAATTCTGGAATAGTAGACCAGTTTTATTCCTCATAGCATTTCACCCACTCGTCCACAGCACAACATTGCATTTTTTTTCTTCTGTCTGTGATGGAAAAACGGCATTTCATTGACTTTATTGCTGTAAGATTTTGCACTTTTTTTTATAAAATTGAGTGGGTGACGGGGTGTTGTAGTAAACCTTGTACATTAAAAAATATTTAATAAAACATCTTTAAAAGCGATTACGTGAATGTTATGTGTCAACTAACCTTATCGCCGAATGTAGATACACTCAGGAGCAAATCTCGTAGTTCTTGATCCATTGTAAAATACCATGTATTTATCGAAATGCCATTGAATCATGTATTCCGTTTGATTATTTCTATCAGAATTCGGAATTTAAAAGCTTTTTTAGAGGTGCGGCTCAGCATTTTAAAATGTATGCAAATACTGAGATATTTAACAATGGATATGAAAAGAATGTTATTTAAGGAGATAGGCTTTACCATCTGAAAAGAGGTCTCTTTTTATTAAGTTAACTGTATTTAACCCTAGATTTCGATGAATAATTGAACAGAAAAGTCAATTAAAATTACGTGTCGCCTTATACATATATTTAATTGTTATAAATAGAACATCTATGGTAAGATCTTCCTGCCATTGACCAGGAAAGCATTAGATTGACTTTTCACAGCTTTTGACCATCGTTATGACGTTTATTTGTTAAATCATTTTTTTTATTATTTTCGTTCGATCCAGTTTGTTGTTTCCTTCTTGGTTTTGTTCTTGTTTCTTATATCAGAAATACCGAAGGCTTACACAGTCAACAGACATATGGAAGATAGAGCTAAGGAGTCAGCGGTAGGCCGTTGAAATGGAAGATTCATTTTTTGAGTTAGAGAGTTGAAAACATTTTGATTAAAAGTAGACAATATTTACATTAATTTCTTGTATCTACAACTTAAATAGGGTTTGTGTATATAAGTTACTGATTCCATTCAAGTGTGATTATCTCGATCCTAGCTTCAGTCGAGCTTTGTTCTCATAAAGGAGAACACACAAGAATAGAAAACCTCTCGTAAAAGCAAAAACTCCGCGAACAAAATGATATCCGGCCTGGACCCATACGAGAGAGAGTGACCTCAAATAGCTCAATCTGTGTAAGAGGCTCTTCTTACAAAAAGAGGAAAAACTTCGGTCCTCTCCTCCCCCCCTCCCTCCCCTTCTCTACCCCGCCTAGTGCAAATACCCGGGAAGATGATCGCTCCTGGATCCACTTAACACATATGACGTAATTCACATTATATTAGTGGAAATATTGCACTTTAATTGTTTTAAAAGCCTGAAAGATTGGAACACTGTACAAAATAACCCTAGCTTTTTCCTGTGCGAAACTGAAGAGAGGGAAATTTAGCCAAAATAACTGATTAAAAAGAAATGACAGATGAAAATTCATCATAGGGGCAACGTCAACGACTTCCTCTCCCTCTTGTCTCTAGGTGTGGTATGCCACTACTAAAACATCTTTTGTGTCAACTAACTTATCGCCGATTGACCATCTACAAAGGAACCATTTTTTTCGGTTTTCGATCCATTGTGAGATACTCATGCCATTTCATCTAATTTTTCCCGAACTGGGAACTACGTCATCCGCCGCAACGATTATGGCTTTCATGAAAAATATTTTGAGTTTCAATTTAAATTGCACCACTCTGTCTAACAGCTACAGCAAGTTTTTCGGAAGTGTCTTCGACAAGGTTTTCTTTCGGCAGATGTTTACAGCGAGAAATTCCCGGATTCCAGACGTTAAGGAAAACTTGCTTATATAAAGAGTTTCAGTTGTTTACTTTTACGCAAGATACATTTGCATACTTGCCTCACGATATTCAACGAATTCACGTAGCATACTAGCTAGACATTCTGTTATATTATATTTATTGATAAGAACGATATCCCAGTCTGATAACTGATCATATAAAAGAAAACCCGAGATTTAAACTATAATGCCGAAAACAAAATCCCAAACAGGTCATACAAAACATTAAAACTGACTCAATTAAGACAATTATTTTAAACTCACTCTGAGCTTTTGATTTACACTTACCTGTGAAAAAATTATATATATAAAAATGTATATATGAATAAATTTCGTACTTAGCAATGAGATCAGCCTCAAATCTCTGAGATTGATTAACATCTAATTTCTCCAAACAGTATCACTGTTGAATGAAGCACAAACGTCATGAGAATTAAGGAAATGATCACAAACCAGTAAAGCTCGTGATTTTAAACAAACTCTCCTTATTAATATCGCAGGTTATGTACAAAGAACGGTATGGAGAATATATATTTTGATGTTGGGGTTTAAAGGTGTATTTGACCAACTGGTTGCTGTGTTTACTTTGGTTTTGGTTTTACACGCTCTTGCGAAAAGACCTTTAACCTTTTAACTCCCATGAGTGACCAAGACAGAATTTCTCCTTACAATATCAATGCAATATCAACCAGATAAGTGATGAGAATAAAGAAAAATATCAATTTTGGGATAATAAGTTCATCCAATAATAAATTCTCTGAACTAACATTATAAGAATTGTATGGTTGACAGTAAAGAGAATTACAAATTTGATCCGGCAGTTAAACGGTTGAACTCTCTAAGATTAAAAGCGGAGAGTGTGTCATGTTATTGACAGAAGACGGTCTTTAATGGGGTGATGTCTTTTACGGCTCACGGCTAAATTTTTTCCAATTTACGGCTATCGGTGAAATATATTCATTGTGTTTACCTCAAATTTCCCTCACGTTTAACTTTTCTTTTGCAGCTTACGGCTAAATTTTTGGCCGTTTTACAGTCAACAGTTACCCCATTAAAACCGTCAGGGAACACTCCTCCCTTTTTTGTCCCTGTGCGGCATCACGTAACCAGACGGGCTTCAAAATACCACCGTGATCAGGAGGAGGATCCGGTGGCGCGGCTCTCAGCCCATCTCTTCCTTCAACTTCATGTCTTGTCTTAAATTCTTCCAAAAACAGAGGGCAAGTTGCTACTCAAATGGAAATATCAAAGATTCATATATGTTGAAATGGTTCTTAGCTTATTGAAGCTCTAGTGTAACAAAAGAAAACCGTGTTTGAGAACCCCTAATCTTTTACCCAGATCCTACCATATAACAGACGGTCAAAACCGATTGGCCATTGAAGGTCTGGGTACGAGACTTGAAAACTTCCTCAGCCAAAATTCATAGACTCTCCTTAATCCTTTAACCTCCAAGAGTGACCAGAATCTAATTTCTCCCTGCAATAATAAAATGGAATTCTTCACTAAGATCATGAGAATAAAGGAAATGATCACCAAGCCAGGAAGCTTTGTTTGTCAAACAGTCTCCTTATCAGCAGCAGTGGAAATATAAAGGAAAAGTATGGAGATTATTCATTCTGATCTTAGGATGTAAAGTGTTAAGCGTTCGTTAAGCTTGTTATTCGTATTTAACATGAGAGTTCCGAAATCAGCTGAAGAATTATTTAATAGAATTCTCGATACGCGTTAGTTTCATGAAATAAAAATTCCCGATCATCGTCTTTATATTTCATCAATTTATCGCTTCATCAACATTTTTTTTTCGATTTTTATCTCTTGACTTATTTCTTATGTGGTTATTATCATTTTTCTTTTTGAGGTTGTCAGGAAGTTTAAGGAGATGACATGGACACTACATTTCATCGTTTAGCGTGGTTGCGTAGCCTGCGTGCAAATTTTCATTAAAGCTACGATGCTTGCGGCAAACATTTGGGCGCTCTAGGGAAAAATTCTGAAAATTCATTAGAAAGCGGGGAGATTGAGGGAAAGGATAAATTGAAAGATCAGGAAGAAAAAAGGATTATGAACTATGTCGAAAGCATAAATATCGATGCAGTTAAAAAAACAAATAGCACAACAACGGGTACTTTTTTGTTAGAATAAAAACCTATCGACGAAAATTTTGGTGCCTATTAACAATAATGGAGCAAAGAGTGAAATCGAAATCGAAGAGGTTCCAGAGAAGACGACAAAAATATGATATTTCAAATCAAATGATGCTTTAAATAATCTTCTAGATGATTCTAAGGGTGGCTTTGCGCAGGTCATCTTCAATGCAGCCTGCTGTTTTCATAATTGACGATCTCCAGCTGCCACACAGGAAGATAACAATTTGCCACATAATGAATATCTCAAAGATATATTTTTGTACCCTCGTAAAGTCACCAACAGAAGGAGAATTTAGTTTTCTTTTTTGCTTGCCCAAACACAATTCAAGTAATTTTTAGGTTACAAAAATAAATGTATTTTTTATTTTAGCCACTCCTCAGGACGATATTCGTAATAAACTTGTGTCATCAACAACATTTTTATTGCATTGGATTGTATTACTCTGGTAAGACGCTTTTATTCAGCAATGAAAGATGAACGAATGTCAACGTTGCAAAAGGATTTGACTTAATGAGCCTACATTTACAAATAAACAGGCTGTGGTGCTTCGTCGGTAGGGGATATTAAAAGATCGGTTTTATCAGTTGAGTTGATAGAGTAAATTTGCTACTGTAAAGAGTTTCTAAGCCGACGTTTCGAGCGTTAGCACTTCGTCAGAATGAAAAAGAATTAAAGCCAACGCTCGAAACGTCAACTTTATGAACTGTTTACGGAGACCAATTTACATTTTGAAGAAACCTAATTATCTTGTAAAGTTATGAATGGTTGAAAATGACAAGAAAACTGAAGTTATAAATCTATTTTTATATTCCTGTCAAAGAAGAAATGGAAGGAATATATTAAAAGGCTTTTAAATTAACTTGAGAAACGAGACAATTGCTACGAAATTGGACAAGTTTTAAACAATCACGCAACCTGCCATCTTCGAATAGCATTTAAGCTTGACGGTAGAGTGTCCAGCTTCACTGTAAACGATAGACATGTACAAGCATTTTCTTCAAGGATGAAGATTCCCACCAAACTATATCTATCTTTGCTGTCCATAACAGTTCTGTGGGAAGGATGGCTTCACTGCCCTGCGGATGGAAACAAAGGTAAGTCTTTGATATTTAACTGTTTTCCTTAGCTCATCCCTCTTTTGTTTAGAATTCCAGTCCGTTATTCTTTGAAATAAGCTAGAAATGTAATACTTGTGAAAAGCAAATTTCTGCATCTTTTTCAAAGTTATTTGTTTCATTGACTTCTAACTAATTATATCAGTAGAAAGTACTAAGTTGAACTTATAATTTACGTTAAAATACCTGATAAGCTCTATGTGTCTTTCGCCAAACAAACTTGTACACGTCACCATTTTCGGGGTAAAGTTTTTCTTTTATCCATCTTTGTCATTAAGACTGACTTTCATTTTATACCAGCTTTGAAGAGCTTTGCCAGCTTCAGAAAGCTATAATATATACTCTCTGTAGGTTAAGCAGCAAAACATTTCTAATAGACGGAAAAATTGAAGCAGCATCAAGTATTGACTAGCGCAAATTTTGGAGCGATATCGGATGCCCCTAACTGGAATTATTACTTAAGCGAGTGAAAATTCTTAAAATTATGGTCCAGTGTTATTCTTTATAGTATGCTTTTCAATTGGCTCTGTATTTAAGAAAACCTTCAAGATCACACACCGTCAATTCGTTAGCTTTCACGGTTATGTTAGACTAAGTTGATACAGAGGATGAGGAAAGTTATACGAGTTTTTAAACCCTTTCTTTATCTTATCGCTCGATTACACATTTTGGACAAGTGGATAACAGGAAGTTATGCCTCAGTTTAAAGAGCCACTAACAATCAAATCAATGTGCTACGCGTGAAAGGAAAAATGAAGAGAAAATACCTCCTGCTTTCCCGTCGATTTACAGGCGAAGCAACATCAATTTATCGCGCGGCGATATGGATTTTCATAAAAGGTTTCTAGAAATGATTTGGAAAATATTGCTTTACTTTTAAAATTAATTTACCAGAAGATTTTTTCAAAAAAATTGAAAATTTTGAGTTTTAAACGCCATCGACAAAAGTTTCATGAAAAGTATAAATTAATTACTTGCCAAAAGCGGATTCATCTTGAACTAAAGCTTTCTCGAAGTGCAAGAACATTTCAGTCTGTGAATATCACTCTTGCAGCACAATATGTCCTTGACACTAAAAGATGATGCATGTAAACGAAATTTAAGAGAAGAAAAGATTTGCAACGAAGGGGAGGTTTAATTTTAGTCGCCAAACTAAGTCGGAGCCAAGCGCATCAGAGATCACAGAAACAAAGACACGCCAAATAACCTCTCTTTTGGTTTGGTTACATTTAAAAGACATATTAGGAAATTTAAAAAATTTAGTTTCTGCCTTGAAGGTTATACCTTACAAGAGAATAGGAACAAACTTACTCTATTCAGGGCTATGTATTTTGGTTGTTTGTTAAACAACGCCATAACAGGTGGTTTAGAGCTTTAACTAAAAAAAAAAACAACAATTTTCTAGATCTTCATAAACAGATTTTCGAGTTGAAATAACAACAAAAAACTTGCCAATCTATGTTATTTTCCGGTTAAAAATGAACCAAAATTTTCGTCTGTAAAATTTCGGCTAAAAAACGACGGTAAGGCAGAAAACATTTTCTAATCAGTTTTTTGTTTCACGCGTAGCACGTATATTTCATTGTTAGTCGTTGGCTGAGTCCTCGTACTTAAGAAAACTTCATGATGGCATGCCTTACACCACGACGCTTTCCCAAACTGCATTTCGTTCCTTTAAATATCAGTTTTTCTGCACGATAGGTCTTGAGACTAAAAGATGATGTATGTAAACGAAATTTAAGAGGAAGAACGATTTGCAAAGAGGGAGAGTTTTTAGTCGACCATTTAAGTAGGAGCCAGGCATTAACAAAGACAAACATCAGATGATCTTTTTTTTTGTAGTTTTGCTATTTAGGCAACTCAAAAGAGTTCACTTCAGTATAAAAAGTACAGGGGAAAAATGAAAAACTTACTTTATTCGGGTCTAAAGACTTTGGCTGTTTGCCCATCAACACCAAAACAGGTGGTTTCTTCTCTTGACTAAAATAACATAGAGTTTTATAATTCAGGCTGAACATATTTTCTTATATTTCATGTATAAGGCGACATAAGCCCACCAGAGTTTTCAAATAGGTTTAAAGCTGTTAAGATTGCAGGACAAGTAAAACAATCTGATATTGGCTACCGATGGAAAAAACAGTTGTAGCGTTAAAAATTACCTCGTAATAAAAAACACTTCATTTTTAAGAAACTGAAGATTCGTATTAAAGTCTGAAAATTTTCTTTTTAAACCAATTTTATGGTTAAATGATATATTGCATCAGATCTTACGCGGAGCGATAAGTCTCAAAGCTAATTGATTTATCCTTTAGCTATCTTTTACGAACTACCTTAATACCAAAAGCCCTTTTGATGCAAAAGGCTACGATGAAGATCTAACGGCAACGTTTTTTTTTCCGTTATTTATTCTGTTATTAGTGGAGTCACTTTAAAAGGTTATTTTTTGTGTTTCATTAAGTAACGGACTGAAAATGGTAGTGTTGTTGATTGTTTTTTAAAATTTATTTATTTATCATTTTTCTTACTGACCCAAAGTGCTTTTAAGGTACAATAATAAATTCTGTAAAATCTGATATGTATCTCCCTAGCAGCAGTATTCCCGTTTCTAATTAGAGTGTAAGTATTTCCCTAGCTGAAATTCTGATGACATTTTTCCTTATGAATCCAATGCCTCCAGATTTTGGCTGCCGAAGACTTAGGTTTAAGAGATCAGAAGGAGAATGTGCTCCTCAACGTTATGTATTTAAAGAAACGTACTTGCCAATGGGGAAGGAGCTCATGACTCACAAATGTAGACATGAGTGCCTCATGGAGAGCAATTGTTTGTCTGTGAACGTCGGCCCACCAAACAAGACAGGCTTCAGGCTCTGCCAACTGAGTAATTTTGACCACACTCAACATGGTGAAAATAAAGAAATACGAAAAGGTTTTATTCTCTGGGCCTCTGAGGTAGGATTTTACTTTACATTACAATACAATCGTCTGAAATCAGCTTGGATCTTTTTGGTCAAGTATAATCACTAACAGGCGTTTTTCTATCCTATCAGAATCTATGCTCCAGTAGTCCTTGCTACCATAATTCCACCTGTCTCAACGGATATACCGACAAGAGATACATTTGCCTGTGTCCAGATAGTTACACGGGAGAAAACTGTGAAAAAGGTCTTACTAATATTATTTTTTAATGTTCTGAAGGTTCTTCATCCAGCTTGCGGATAACTTTATATCAGTCCTCATTGTTTTTCTTTGTTTAGATAAAAACGAGTGTATTGACAACACTCATGACTGTCATGCCAAAGCTGTTTGTAATAATACCGAGGGATCATTTACGTGTAGCTGTACAGAAGGTTATCAGGGGAACGGTCGGAATTGCACAGGTGAGATTCATAGATATTCATAGAGAGATTCATAACAATGAAATGTTTTTCATAGCATCATATCCAATGGCTTATATCCTCGAACGCAAGGAGAAGACGGTCCAATGACACCCCTTTTGGTCTCTTTTCAATTTCGCTGAGAGTGATTTATCTGAAGACCAAAACGGTCATTGCTAATATGCATCACGGTTCTTGTTGACTTATAGATTTCCTATTTTCGTGCATTGTACTTCGTATTTCAGTTGTAACCATTGACCAACTAGTAACTAGAGGCAGTGGGTTCGAATCGCGTCGAAGCCTGAAAATTTCTTAGATAGTCTACGATAGTTTTTAATTGCAACTTGTTTCTAGGATTTCTCTTTATTTGGTGTTCCTGCCCTTTTCTTGTTTACTTTCAAACTTTTTAGATGTGGACGAGTGTACCAGCCAAACCCATGGCTGTCACTATAATGCAAGTTGCAATAACACAGACGGCTCTTACACATGCAAATGCAAAACGGGATTCAATTGCAGTAAGTATAAGAAATGTTGTGTGATTTTTTCTTTCTTTTTAATCGTTTTTTCAGAAGTTTACCTGACAACGATTTGCGTGATCCCCTTGAAACGGTGCCAGAGATAAACTCTGATAAAATGTGCGTTTAAAATGAACACTTACTTCGATCATTGCAGCTCAGACAGATACTTTATCATTCGATGTAAATTGTGACAACGCGAAATTCTTATCCTAAGTACTATGCAAGCACACCTTCCCTCTACCAAATGAACACTGAAACAACCTGAAATCTACGAAATCGAGTTCGTACGGATTACATTTAATGGGCCTAGGATTCTGACGTGGTAATGACCAGGAACTAGATAAGACGAGTTTTTCACAAATTGCGCTGAAGTGGTTCACTTTTTGATATGTTTACACAGGAAAGTCACCCAAAAAACCCAATAACGATCAGTGCTCAGAAATTATATTCGTCACGAGAAGACTCCTCCTCTGATAAATAACGTGTATCTCACATTTTCCCCCAAATTGTCAAACTAATTTCAAATTTCTTTACCAGAGTAGGGAAACTTAAGATCTGAACTGCCCTTAACGAGCTTAATGTTATGTATTTGTTCTCCCAGCTGTTTAAACTGATCATACAACCAGCTGCCAGACTAAACATAAACATTCGTGATAAAGATGAAATTACAACTTAATAAAAAAAAATGGATGTCAATTTTACATTTTCCTCTCAGCATTCAAAGCCGTGTTCTCAAATCTCAATGCCACTGGAAGATATGGTCCAACATCGCTCGGAAGTTACTACGCAGGTCAGGATCATGACAGACAAGTTGCTTTGTCCAGCGGTATTCAGCAGTGGACTGTGCCGCACACTGGCGATTACAGAATAGAAGCAATAGGGGCAGCTGGAGGGTACGATCCACGGATTAACAGCTCTCAGTATCGCGGAAGAGGAGCAAGAATGATTGGAACATTCCGCTTAAACAAGGGTGAAGTCATCCAGGTACTTGTAGGTCAAGAAGGAGGAATAAACAAGAGGCGTTATTCTTCTGGAGGTGGTGGAGGTACATTTGTAGTGAGAGGAGCCAACACACCTTTGATAATAGCAGGAGGCGGAGGAGGGGTAGCATGTGTAAATTCAAGACATACAGAATGTGACGCCAGCTCAAACACGACAGGGAATCCTGGGTACAGATCATGGGCAGGGGGGAGCAATGGACATGGTGCACAGACTGCTGATTCTGGACCATTATCAGGTAAGAATATTTTTCAATAATCTTTAGCATTTCAGCATTTTGGTAGTAATTTAAAAATTTCGTACGAAATGTTTATTCTGCTATAATCTCACGATATCCCCATCAAAAGTTTTCTAATTTAATTAATATCATGATATTTTAGGTGGTGGTGGTGGTGGTGGCGGGTTCTACTCCAGTGGAAGAAGTGGAAAGAATTTCAATGGGACCAAGGCGTATGGAGGAGAGGGTGGCAAGGGATTTCTGCAGGGAGGGGTAGGTGGGAGATCAGGGTATGTCGACGTCACTTATGGTGGGTTTGGCGGAGGAGGTGGAGCAAGGGATTGGTGGTTTGGAGAAGGAGGAGGAGGATACTCTGGGGGAGGCAGTGGACGTTATCATTACGATACCTGTGGGGGTGGTGGTGGATCCTACAATGCTGGAAACAATCAGCAGAATGAATGTTGTTACAACGACGCTGGCCATGGTCAGGTGACCATCACGCTACTGTAGAAAAAACAACCGAACCGCTTGCCATCCAATGCATAGGTGATTTTAACCCTTTAAATCTCAAGATCTTATTAGTAATTATCATTACTGTGTGCCAAATGATTCTCATTATGTTAGCTTGGAGAATTTGATATCAGATCAATTAGTAATCCCACAATTTATATTTGTCTTTATTCTCATCACTTGTCTGCATGATATTGTATGGATATAGTAAGGAGAAATTCTGTCTTGGTCACTCATGGGAGTTAAAGGGTTAATAGAGATTAGATATGACAACAAGTTAGATAATGTTATGGAGCTTGAATATTCATAATGATTAGACTAAGAATCTTGAGGGGAAAAACAGCTCATGTTATTCTACATTACAATTAGCGACAAAGTTGTTGACACATTACGGTTGAAGATCAATTCTGGAATAGTAGACCAGATTTATTCCTCATAGCATTACAACCACTCGTCCACAGCACAACATTGCATTTTTTTTCTTCTGTCTGTGATGGAAAAACGGCATTTCATTGACTTTAGTGCTGTAAGATTTTGCACTTTTTTTTTTTTATAAAATTGAGTGGGTGACGGGGTGTTGTAGTAAACCCTGTACATTAAAAAAAATTTTTAATAAAACATCCTTAAAAGCGATTACGTGAATATTATGTGTCAGCTAACCTTATTGCCGAATGTAGATCCACTCAGGAGCCAATCTCGTAATTCTTGATCCATTGTAAAATACCATGTATTCACGCAAATGCCATTGAATCATGTATTCCGTTTGATTATTTACTATCAGAATTCGGAATTTAAAAGCTCCTAGAGGTGCGGCTCAGCATTTTAAAATGTATGCAAATACTGAGATATTTAACAATGGATAGAAGAAGAGAGTTATTTAAGGAGATAGGCTTTACCATCTGAAAAGAGGTCTCTTTTTATTAAGTTAACTGTATTTAACCCTAGATTTCGATGAATAATTGAACAGAAAAGTCAATTAAAATTACGTGTCGCCCTATACATGTATTTAATTGTTATAGTTAGAACCTAAATGGTAAGATCTTCTTGCCATTGACCAGGAAAGCATTAGATTGACTTTTCACAGCTCTTGACCATCGTTATGACGATTATTTGTTAAATCATTTTTTTATTGTTTTCGTTCGATCCAGTTTGATGTTTCCTTCTTGTTTTTACTCTTGTTTCTTACATCAGAAATACCGAAGGCTTACACAGTCAACAGACATATGGAAGATAGAGCTAAGGAGTCAGCGGTAGGCCGTTGAAATAGAAGATTCATTTTTTGAGTTAGAGAGGTTAAAACATTTTGATTAGAAGTTTGACAATATTTACATTAATTTTTTGCATTTACAACTCAAATAAGGTTTGTGTATATAAGTTACTGATTCCATTTAAGTGCGATTATCTCGATCCAAGCTTCAGTCGAGCTTTGTTCTCATAAAGGAGATTACATAGGAATAGAAAACCTCTCGTAAAAGCAAAAACTCCGCGAACAAAGTGATGTCCGGCCTGGACCCATACGAGAGAGAGAGGAGGGCTTGCAATATCTTTTCACTTGACCTCAAATGGCTCAATCTGTGTAGGGGGCTCTTCCTACAAAAGGAGGAAAAACTTCGGCTCCCACCCCCCCCCCCCCCCCTTCTCTACCCCGCCTAGTGCAAATACCCGGGAAGATGATCGCTCTTGGATCCATTTAACGCATATGACGTAATTCACATTATATTAGTGGAAATATTGCACTTTGATTGTTTTAAAAGCCTTTAAGCTGAATACACTTCAGTTAGTTTAGGTGGTAAATTAAAGCTGTTGCTGCATTTTAAGTGGTTCTAGAAATTTAGTGTCGAGCTATCAATAAAAAAAGTTCTCCAATATATTGTTTAATTGCGTGTCCGTACCAACATATTCATTCCTTTTAAAGACAATGAAAGATTGGAACACTGTACAAAATAACCCTTGCTTTTTCCTGTGCGAAACTGAAGAGAGGGAAATTTAGCCAAAATAACTGATTAAAAAGAAATGACAGATGAAAATTCATCATAGGGACAACGTCAACGACTCCCTCTCCCCCTTGTTTTAAGGTGTGGTATGCCACTACTAAAACATCTTTTCTGTCAACTAACTTGTTGCTGATTGACCATCTACATAGGAACCACTTTTTCGGTTTTCGATCCATTGTGAGATACTTGTGCCAATTCATCTAATTGTTCCCGAACTGGGTGATACGTCATCCGCCGCAACGATTTTGGCTTTCAAGAAAAATATTTTGAGTTTCAACTTAAATTGTACCACTCTGTCTAACCACTACAGCAAGTCTTGTCGGAAGTGCCTTCGACAAGGTTTTCTTTCGGCAGATGTTTACAGCGAGAAATTCCCGGATTCCAGATGTTAAGGAAAACTTACTTATTTAAAGAGTTTCAGTTGTTCACTTTTACGCAAGATACATTTGCGCGCTTGCTTCACGATATTCAATGAATTGGCGTAGCATACTAGCTAGACATTCTGTTATATTATATTTATTGATAAGAACGATATCCCAGTCTGATAACTGATCATATGAAAGAAAACCCGAGATTTAAAATATAATGCCGAAAACAAAATCCCAAACAGGTCATACAAAACATCAAAACTGACTCAATTAAAAAATGATTTTAAACTCACTCTGAGCTTTTGATTTACACTTACCTGTGAAAAATTATATATATATAATATATTATAAATGTATATATGAATAAATTTCGTACTTAGCAATGAGATCAGCCTCAAATCTCTGAGAGTGACTGGCAGCTAATTTCTCCAAACAGTATCACTGTTAAATGAAGCACAAACGTAATGAGAATTTAGGAAATGATCACAAACTAGTAAAGCTCGTGATTTTAAACAAATTCTCCTTATTAATACCACAGGTTATGTACAAAGAACGATATGGAGAATATACATTTTGATGTTGGGGTTTAAAGGTGTATTTTACCAACTGGTTGTTGTGTTTACTTTGGTTTTGGTTTTACACGCTCTTGCGAAAAGCTTTTTAAACTCTCCAAATTAAAAGCGGAGTGCGCGTCATGTTACTCACGAAAGACGGCCAAAATGAGGGGATGGCTTTGACGACTCACGGTTAAAATTTTAGCCAATTTACGGCTATCGGTTAATATCCTTCAATTGTGAACCCCTGTCCCTGTGCTGCGCTGCATTACGTAACCAGACAGGCTTCAAAATACTACCGTGTTCAAGAGAAGGATCCGGTAGCCCGACCCTCAGCCAACCCCCTCTTCGTTACCACTCAAATGGATTCTCAAAAATCACTCATATACATTGAAATGTTTTTAGCTTATTTAAGCACTAGTGTAAAAAAAAAATTTTAAAAAAATTCACGTTTGGGAAACTCTAATCTCTTACTCAGACCCTACCGTGTAACTACTGAAAGGTAAAACCGATTGGCCATTGACGAGACCAAGAAACCCCCTTATCCAAAATTCAATTTAAACCTCTTCACAAAGATCTTAAGAATAAAGGAAGTCATCACCAAGCTGGGAAGCTTTTTTTGTTAAACAAATTCTCCTCATCAGTTCCAGTAGAAATATATAGAGTATGGAGAATATTCATACTGATATTAGGGTGTAGAGTGTTTTGCTTTCGTTAAACTTGTTAAACGTATTTAACATGAAAATTCCAAAATCAGCTACAGAATTATCGAACGGAATCCTCGATACGCGATCGTTTCATGATATGAAAATTCCCGATCATCGTCTTGTTATTTCATCAATCTAGCACTTCATCAAGATTTTTTTGTCTGTTTTTAATTCTTTACTAATTTTTTTAAGTGATTATTATGATTATTTTTCATTTTCTTTTTTTGTTTTGTTTTGTTTGAGATGATCAGGAAGATCTAGGAAATGACAGATTCCATCGTTAAGCGAGCCTGCGTAGCCTGCGTGCAAATTTTCATTTAGCCGCGATGCATGCGGCGAAGCTCACGAGAGTGAGGCGAGCGTGCAAACCTCTCTCACGCTCAAATCACTCGCTGCCTCGAAATCCGCTGACTTCATAGCGCCAGAAAGAGTCTACTCGTGGGCGAATGATTTTCGATCCCTGAATGCATCATTTAGTGTCGATGCAAAGGGACAAAGGTAAACCCAGGCTTTAATAACAAAATAAATTTAGTTATCACAGTTTAGTATCCCAGACATCAGAGTCAAAATCATCCGTGATCTCTTGTGGATTATCAATTCCCAAATCAAAATCGTCAGCTATGTGTCTATCCCCGAACGTTTCAACAATTTTACCAGTTTTCGGACATATCTGTGAAATCTTTCGTAGAGCGATTGGACTTCTTGTAGAGTCTGGTGTCGCTGGAGCTCTCGGAGAAACCTCAATCGTTTCTTGCCATTTAAAAAAGAGAAGTTTGAGAGACCGACGGCATTGGCGAATGCGAAACGTGTAGGTAAATGGATTACAGGCGGCGTTGATATAGAGAAATGGTAACAAGATTCGCCGACACGAAACAAGCCATATCCCAGCACAATGAGTACAGTGTACCTCTACAAGAGTAATTATATAATATGGCAAATGTGAAATAAAGAGGAAAAGAACTATGAGAATGGCTGTAAAAGCGAACTGTTTATCAATATCAAATCTTTTTTCGTTTGCTGAGACCGCACTGTCGCTAGCGTCAGAGTTCATAGAACACGCACGCCGTCTGTACCCACGTAAAACTTTTAGCAATAAGAAGTTAAAAATTAGAACAGCCACGAGTGGAAAAGTCATATTCAAATGAACTTGTAACATGTCGTAAATTCCCTGTGGAATTCCAGTGAATCGAAGCAAACAGAAAGCCACGGAATATGCCACAACGCATAGTGCACATGCCAAGGTTTTTCTACCGCTCGCCGTCGCACGGTAGTAAAACGGTTGGGCCACGGCGATCAAACGTTCCACGGACAAGCTCATGACAAGAAACGTGCCGTTGTTGATAGCAAATAGACCGATGATACTTTCAAAACTCGTGCGGGTCGTCGTTTCATCCGCATGAATTTCACAAGATATTTCGTTACGTATGTGAAGACCGCTTATAACAGATCCAGTCAATAAGTCGTTTGCGGCCAGGGCAGCGATGAGAACTGAAATTGGTTTACGAAAGCAGCGTAAGGGATCCTTATACATGACGTAAAGAAGCATACCATTAGCAACCATAGCCAGTAAAGACAATATTCCAGCCAGTGTCGCCGAACAAACGCATATCGCATGCATGAAGCTCGTCATTTCCACTTACTAGGATGTCACCTTTTGTTCCTTGGTCCAATTCGTGATCACTCAACATCGAAACCGGCCAAATATTTCGTCAATACGGCAAACATTTCGATTCCTGCCAAGCTCGCGTTAGAGTGACTGGCAACAATGCAATAAATTTTCCTGAATTTAAAATTTCAATTACAAATAATTGCTCAATATTCCTGGTTCCACGCTTCGTTGCCCGCCGTTTTGTTATTTTCCTAAAGATCGTTAAGGAAGCCTGTATGATAAGCTTCTAAACAAAGCTTCAACCGCTAATATTTCCAACCGTTCATTATGGGGATTAATTTGGCCACAGTGCGAAATACAACATTAACAAAAGTTGCTTAGAAAACCAGGAAAAAAAAACAATAACTGACGTGTCACCACATTTAAGTCTAAAATTAATATCGTTTTGCTAAAGTGAATACATTAGCATGTAATTCTTCGATCGATCAACTCGAAGCTTCAACATCCCTCCGGTGCATTTGAACCTTCAAAAATTCCCGTTCTCGGGAAAATATTATTGTGTTTAAATACCCTACTTAAGCAGTGTTTGGTAATTCACGATTCTTAGTGGGATCAACAAAATGTTGAAGAATTTAGGGTCATTTTGCAAAGTCACGCTTTAGTTTTTTTATGCCGTTGTTGGGTTTTTCGTTTGTAAGCATCATTCTACGATGCGGAAATTTTCTTGTAAGCCATTTGCTCTCGGCGCATGTAATATAATCGACGGCAAAAACACACACACGTCACATCAAAGAAATGCTGAAAATTTTCTGTTCTTTTGCTACAATTGAGAGTTTGTTACGATGATTTACTTGCATTGGAGTCAATGATTTACATTAAAGAAATACAGGTGGGTAAACAAACAAAACTTATCTTCATAAAAACAATCATACCAGCTCTGAATACGACTTCTTACTTGATTTAGTTTCGACAAAAGGTCTTTCGTGAATCATACTTAAATATTTGACAAAGACAAATTACAGCATTTAAGTCGTTTTTCTGCACAATTCACGAAAGTGGAGATTACGAAGTTCAAAGTCTTCTGTTAAGATAAATGGTTCATCCATGGTACTGCAAGGGAACAGATCTAGTGGCAAGTTCTCGTAAAGAACGATCCATGACGAGGACAAATGTCTACCACAATAGATCACGTATAATAACGCGAGATGTGACGCTGAAATCACAATCTCGAACCTAGTCCTCGAGAGAGGATATCTGACACAGCGGAAGGAACGATTTGCATGTTTTCTTCATAATAACCAATTTAAAAAGTGTAACACGATCATAAACTACCCATTTTCTTCATTTAAATTTTAAACAAAAAAATTATACCAGAGCTGCAAGTTTTGATAGACAAAACAATCACTGTAACATAAGCATTAGCCTGCATCAGACCCGTAATATCAGTGCTGCAAGACGCAAGTTTCTCCGTCAACGGGAAGATTTGAGACGAGTCGGGGAGTGGTTTGCCGGGGGACTGACACTACTTAGTGCCAGACCCCTTCCGGTTCTTTCACGGGCTGGCGTGGCTCAAGGCATCATACCTTCCCGCGGGCGATGAAACATTTGTACAGTAGCATTAAAAACAAGGCTCTCCTTGCAGGCTGATGAGTATTGGATTCTAATCTGCTTTCTTCACTCTCTTTTTTGTTCCTTCCTTTAGAGTCGAATTATTTGTAGACTTCTTCTCTCCGTCGCCTACAACAACAACAACAAAAACACAACACAGTTGAAGTAGCCTGATAATGTATTAGTATAATAGTATAATAAAGTATGTAGTATAGAAAAGTCGGATCAATATCAGTATCTGGGCAACTGCCCACCTACCCCTCCCCTAACCTACAATTGACTGTTGTTGAGTTAGGGGAGGGGTAGGTGGGCAGTTGCCTAGATACTAATATTGATCCGAAAAGTCTAATGAAGCTTTTAGACAACGCCAGCGACATTTGAAAATGTCACTTTATTTCTACGGTAGGCCACCGGTTCAGATTAATCCAAATTAACTGTCCCACGATAACGGGAGCTCTAAAAAATTCTCACCAAATTTCATAAATTTAAAAGTTCCAGCTCTGTGTGTATCTAACCTCATTAATAACTCATTGTTATCAGCGCCGCGACACGAGCTCTTTTTCGCCCGCGAGAAAGTCTGGGGCGAGCTGGGGGGAGCTCTGCAAGTCACGTAATTAGTGCCAGCCCCCTCGCAGACCTCCTCCGAATTGTTTTGTTCAACGACTCCAACTTTCCCGCTGGCGAAGAAACGCTGGTGTCACGGCGCTGACAATGAACACCTGCTCACAGGCTTTACCTCACCTCCCCATATGAACAAAGTCATCCATTTTCCCAAGAGATACAGGAAGGCGCTTAAACAGCTTGCTAACGTAAAAAATGCTACTTTGCCAGAATTAGGCATTAGACGAAGGAATGGATAAACCCAAAAGTTTGCTGCATAAGCAATCCACGATATCCTATCAAAATATATCAATAAATTTGTTATTTATTAATGATACAAAACATTTAATAATAATTCATAATAATTACTCATGATTACTAATCCAGGATATTTGAATCAACCCAATTATTATTACTCCATGAGCACAACTGAAATGAAAATATTGACAGCTAACAAGGCAGGAAAAGGCTGTGGCTAATCCACATACATGTGCACATGGTACAGATACTAAAACAAAATGCCAATGTGATTTGTTCCAAGCAGTCTGATTTATGCACCAACTAGAGAGTTTATGCAATACACCTATGTGCCTGGAATATGTGGTTCCTTTTCTCCCAAAGAGTCAACTGTTAGTTTTGATTCACGGATTGATTTTCATTGACTAGTGTTTTGTTTTTCAAAGTTTGTTACAGTGTTGATTGAATGGTAATAGAATTTGTGTCATTCAATTCATAATGGTAATAGGACTGAGTGCCAGAGTCCAATTTGGTCTGCAATCATACAAGTGATTAACAAATTCAGACAAATGTGAAGCAGGAGTCTGATATCTCAATCACAAGTATGATTACAGACAGAATTGGATGACACAAGGTCCTGTTACCAATTAATCATAACCATTACAATTTCTGAAAATAAAACAAATTCATTTAGAACAGACATCAAGACATCTCCCGTAGAGACAGTGTTTAAAGTAAAAAATTTCTCCATTTTGGAAATTCCCTGTTTTTTTCTTTTTTTTTCAGGGATGTGGTTGTGATTTGGTTCTTGTGGCCAATTCTGTGATTGGTAGATTTAGCTGAGTGGACTTAGTACGATTGGCTGCTTCAACTGTCCAATTACAGCCAATTGTCTGATTACAACCATACAGAATGGTTAGTGAAAAGTAAATCAGCTAATGCACCAATCACATTTGAGGAAATTGAAATAGCTATGATTATTTCTGTAATCGTATGCACGTTCAACAAATCATGGGTACATATTGTGACTAACAAATTATACCCAACTTGGTCCTATTACCATAACAAATTCTGCTTTGAACCCACTTTTTCCTCTCTACATTCTAACCTTAGAATGTATTTTCTCCATACTGTTGTCTATACATTTCCTAAGGTGCTGACACAGGGCGTGAAATTGCGCCTAATACAGGCGCCAATGCGACTAAATTTTTCACTTTGGCGACCAAATCCTGAAAGTCAGTCGCCAAATTGGCGACTGCAACGTTTCATCATAACCTTACTAAGAGATATAGTGAATTAAATAAATTTGCAAAGATAAATCCGCGGCAAACTTCCTCGTTAAGTTTGTTTCCAAAACGTAGCACATGCATCTCGATCGAAACTAGACGCCATCTTGGATTTAGATGAGCCTGAACGTTGTATATCATACATCCTAGTGTCCACTTTGTAGCACGTTAAAGATCTTTTCCCTAACTTAATTTTGGAGGGTCTATCTAGAACGCTGACAGCGCAAAGAAAGATTTTGTTTGTCTTTGAAAATGGCGACCAACTTTTTTTGAATTGGCTACCACTTTGAAGAATTTAGGAGCCAAGTGGCTATCAGAAAAAAAAGTTAATTTCACACCCTGTGACAAGGAGAATTTGTTGAACAATCACAAGCTTCTTCACTTGGTGATCATTTCCTTTATTCTCCTGACCTCAATGTTTGATCCAGGGATGATATTGTCAGAAGAAATTAGAAGCTGGTCACTCATAGGTAATTCAAAGGACTTACAGCAAATTCTCACAGCTAAGATTATAACAAATGTTTGACAGACAGTAAGGAGAACTGATCTTTAAGTCTTTAAGTAACAAAATAAAATTTTTTGACCTACCAAGAAAGATAAATCGCTGTAAAAACAGCTAACACACCCAAACCTACACGATTCTTTGGATACTTGTGTTTGATGAATGCAGCTTCTAATATGATAAGAATAGCACACCAGGTATGCTAAAAAGAAACACAAGGAATTACTTATTAATATTTGTGTAATACAGTCTTTTGCAGGAATAGTACATGTATGCTCCTGAAATCATTTGATGTTTCTCTCCACCAATAGAAAGTACCATATAATTTAAATATAGGATTATGACCACTGAAATCATTTGGTGTTTTTCTTCACTGATAGAAAGTACTATAATTTGAAAATACGATTATGACTACCTTAAAAGATTTCAAAAAGTAACCTAACATTTTGAAAATTGATTCCAAAAACGCTAAAACTTTTTTTGTGCCACAGGACAAAGAGATCACTTAATTTATTAATTTCAATCAAATTTGTATTTACATTATTTTTCTCACATTTCTACTTTAAATTTATTTGTATAAAGCTCCCTGTGGACTATTTTCATATCCTGGTATGCCTTTGATTTGCGAAAGCTTAGATTATTAGCTTTCGATTTTAACAATGATCTGAAATTTAATATTATTATCATTATTATTTACAATGCCAATGAAAGACAACAGTGTTGTAGATTTGTTTGTTTGTTTTGATCAATTATTTTTTGGCAACTTAAATTTTGTTTCTAGCAGCCATTTCATATTTCTGGAATTCTTGATGCAGTTTTGACTGACCCTCTACACCCTAACATCACAATAATTAAATAATCTCAATTCTGCTTTCTACACATTTTGTATGGTGTGGAAAGGGAGAATTTGTTTTAAAATCAAGAGTTTTATTGGTTGGTGATATCAATCATTACTTCTCATGACATCAATGTTTAATTCTGGAACAATAATGTGAGGAGAATTTAGATGCTGATCTCTATTAGGTTTAAACTTTTAAGGTTTAAACTTTTAAGGGTTAAAGCTGAGCTTGGAGCACAGCATACAGTTACTTATGGGCTTTTACAAGCGTCTGCTAATTAGAGATACTGCAATGAAAATATCCAAAGGAGAACTCAGAACTCATACCAAAATATGATTGAGCCATGAAGGGAATATCTTATCCAATGCACGAGGAAAGATGAGCTCTCTGTCCATTAGGTATATACCCCAAAAGGTAGCTGCAACAAACTGGAATAGAAAAACAATTGAACAGAAGAAACATTTGTAAAACAATTTCTTTAAATTTTTAAGCATAGATATATATGTCATTAGCAACATAATGCTGATTCAAGCTCTTAGAAACACCGCATTTTTTTTTTTACATACATACATTTTATTACTTGGATCTGTATTTGCAATTTTTCATGCGCCCACAGTTAGCTTGAGTGCTATTCTAGGTGGGTTGCATGTTAGACGTAAAAATTATTACATAAGCACTTCACAAATTACTTATAATCTAATAATTTTGTTAAATTATAGGACAAATTTACTGCAATAGAAATATTATAAGTAGACAATAATAACAATAATAATTATAACATTTATGGTGATTGATAAAAATAGTTATAATAATAATTGTCATAATAATAATTATAGTTATTGTAAAGTTGGCTCTTTTTTTTAACTAAAAGAAAGCTTCCAGAATGGGTGACAAGGATTTAATTCCCTTTAAATGGAAATAAAAGTTAATTAAAACACTTACACACCAAGAGGAAAAGCTAGAGATGAAAACAATAAATTAATTAATTAATTAATTAATTAATAATAAATAATAATAATAAATAATAATAATAAATAATAAATAAATTAATAAATAAAAGTTAATTAAAACACTTACCACACCAAGAGGAAAAGCTAGAGATGAAAACAATAAATCCCGCAGTTTAACAAGCCAGTTATCTTTCCGTCCACTAAGGAGAGTAACAACGTCACCCAATGGTGCTATGATGAAGTACAACAGTTGAATAATCTGAAATAACAAAATTGCCGGATGTTTTCAGTAATTTGGCAGCCCAATATGAGCACTGATTTGAAAGATTTAATTTTTGTGGCTGGACAGAATTTTCACTTGAGCATCCTGGTCACCTGTGGTCTAATAAGACCTCCTAACAGTGTCTGGTTTGCCTGTGGAGCACCTTTGTGCTAACAAGGACAGAAATTGGAACATTTTGTGCTCTAACAGGTTATTATTTGCTATTTACTCTCGCTGGTGGCAATTTAAGGGAAATCAGTTGACTTTTGTGGAATTTATTGGCCTTGGAGAGGCGACTGTCGGTGCTTTGGACTAGTTCAAGTAGCCTGCCTTCTCCATTTTATATTCCATAATACCTGGCACAAAGAAAGTTGACAAAGTAATGTTAAAGACAGCCAGAAGAGACAAGGCGGCTGTGGAGTGAAGCTATGGAGACTGGCCTTTATATCATTTCAACTTTTTCAATTTTTCTAAAAATATTTTTCTTTTCTACAGCACAGGCTTACACTTAAAATTCAGTCTTAATAATTGGCATTTTAGTAAATGACCTTTAAACCCCAAAATCATTCACAGTATATTTAGGCCGCCTGTACTCCTTACAGTCTTATATTCAAGCATGTCATTCAAAAGCTACCATAATTTAAACGTGATAACTGTCTTGGCTGAGCCACTGGCCAAAATTATGTGAAATGTGTTTTGTTTCAGTGCCAAAACAAAAGCATCAAATTCCTATTTCAAATTTAGCATGGGGTAATTAAATTCTAATGGTGTAATTCCTAAAATTAAGGATTACGTAATCGGTTCATGATTATATGTGCTACTCGGGATCAATTTAAAAAAAGAATTGTACAAAAAATAATCCGTCCAACATGTAATCTTACTAGCGATGAGTTAATTTAAAGAAATTATTTTGCTACAGCTTAGGAATTCCTTTAGTGTTCATTTGTTAACACCTATCTTCTTAAAATCGTTCAAACTTAAAAGATATTGTGTACCCGGCTTTTTTCCAATTACAAAATCCATAAGAAATGGCTAGAAACGGATACAATACAGAATCACCACAACAAGTTATTTCATTGGTATTAGAGTTGAGGATGGCTTAAATAGTTGGAACCAAAGATTTTATAGGTGATCACGGTATAATTAAATCTATGAACGAAGGGTAATTCTATTAACATTTAAAATCATGCATGCTTCTGCTGGTTCCATGAAGGTCAGTGTAAATATTACAACTGTGCCAAAATATAAAACCTTTCTTACCAAATTCAAAAATGTTAGAAACTTCCATCTTCCTCCATAGGTGCTTACATGAGGTGTCACAATTTGAAAGTCCCAATAAGTGCCGCAAATATAATAAATTCCACATCCTAAATGGAATACACCTGACAGAAATTCCATCTCGGTAGATTTCGCGATAGAGGTAAAGCTTGCTAAAGTTCCCAGGCCACAAACGTCCACATATGAACTTTTTTCCTAAAATAATTCTTTGTCCGGATATTTTATGATGGATTTGAACAGATGAGCTGAGACAATATCTTTAAATCCTAAGAGTATGGGATGAATCCTGTTTTAGCTTGTCTGTTGTAAGTTTAAAGTCCGAAGTACACGAGATTTCTCAGAAATGTCGCGAAAGACGAGGACTTTGCGTTACATCACGAGGCTATTGCGTGACTAACGAAGAATTCCGCATAGAAAGAGAATATTGTAAAAGACGATGTCCAATCATAAAAAGTTAGCCAGTAAAGTAAATCTTTCAGAGTTGGGGGTGGAAAAAAATCAAAATTTATGGATAGAATAAGAAAATCTTCCCTGATTCCTCGCAAGCCTCCAACAAGATCAGAGGTCAGACAGCGGGACACATTTTCAAATTATGCGCACTCTATCCAATTCAGAAAACTAATTGCGCATTCGCAAGATGGCGGACAAGTACTGACTTCTCACTTCTTGGAATCAAATATGCAGTGCATTTTCCTGTAGTATGCTGAGAATAGACTTCGGCCAAAGCTTATTAGACCATAGTGGGGTCTTAATACTTGTTCAGCCTGTGGGATACATCGGTGATAAACGATTCAAAGCAATTTTCGACGAAATTTCCACGTATCGCACCGCACAGGTACCGAACACTATCAGGACACTAAACCTTCGGTACTCGAAAAGGGTCAGTCCTCAATTCACCGAATGGGGAAATTTTCATTTTCACAAACGAGTCTTGGGGCTTATTTGTGTTGGATGGTGCACCGAGATTTCAGAGGTAGAAAAGCTTGAAAAAGCGATAAATGAAATTAAAAATCCTTTTAGTGCAATACTTTTGAACACAAGATGTTTCGTCTTTGGCTGCCAGTCCAACGACGAATCAAAGATCAGGAAAGATTTCGCACTTATCAGAGGCGAAGATCATTCCGGAGACCTTCAAAGTAACCTCGCAGAATTTGTAGCTTCTTTGTTTAACGTATTGGAATCGAAGAGGATCAGTAAACTATCAGAGAAGATTGATAAAATAACCCTGATACAGGCACCAGTAGAGCATGAAGTTTTTGGAGGGGAGAATGACAGCAGGTAAGAATGAATGGATCTTAGAATTTAGAGGTCAATGGGGTAAAATTTCCGCACAGTCCCTTACTATTGTAAAACAAATCTGTTTTCCCAATGGCAATGTATTGTTTTTGTCACTGTTTTCTCTGTCCAAGAACTGAATGCATAATGTAGTATGGGGCTGTGCGGAAATTTTACCGGTCAATGGGCCATCTTGTTCTTTATTAAATCGCTCTGACGAAGGGCTAACGCTCGAAACGTCAGCTTTTTTACCCTTTATGGTGGCTAATTTACATTTTCAACCCAGTTGTTAACACTAAATTACCTGCTATACTCTCCCACCGATGCAGCACCACAGTTTCTTTAGAAACTTACCCCTTTGTTCTTTATTATGTCTCTCAGTTAGCACTTATCTGTGTCATGATTGGTAAATTTAGCAGGCTGTATTTCACTGTATCGCGTAATTCCAAAGTTTGTTTAAACTGGACGCTTCCTCCTGTAGTTGAACTCAGAGAGGTAATAAATGTATTACTAACCTTGTTTTCTCAGTCTGCTCTGTGCGATCAGATTTCTGGGAGCCCTTGGTACAGACCTTGAACTTAAGTACATGTAGTTAGGGGTGTTTATACTCCATGGCTCTTTAATGGTTGAAGTTCTGACTAAGTGGCTGACAGCTCTCCAAGGTTGATTCATGCTGATTGAAAGAAACAGCATAATAACAACCTACAAATGAACCTACTCACTGTTCATCCAGTATATCTGCAGCCACAGTAATGATTTCACAACTTGGTGCTCATCAAGTACTTTTCAACGGATGAGTCAACTGGATAGCCCTCTGCCCTTCTGTTTGTCTCTCTGGCTGTCTGTCTGCCTGTATGTCTATCTATCCATTGGTCTGTTTGTCTCTCTCCCCATCTGTCTATCCTTTGGTCCATTCATCTATCCATCTGTTTACCTGTCAATCTGTGTATTATCTGCTTGATCCATTGGATGTCTAATTCATTTACTTGAAGTATTGACTGATTGACTGACTGAATGACTGACTGACAGATTGACTGACTATTGCTGACTGAATGACTGACTTAATGACTGACTTTCTAAATGACTGACTGAGTGAATGAATAATTGACTGACTGACAAAATGACCAACTGCCTGACTGACTGAAAAACTGAATAACCAACTGTCTGGCCGTGTGCGACTGATTGAATTTCTGTCAAGCTAACTGACTGACAGACTGACTGACTGACTGCACTGGCATTGTACACAGTAAGTGTATGACTCAGTGATTGCTTAATCTATGTATTGATTGATCAATGATTGATAAATTTATTGACTTACACTGTAACAAGCAACCAATTGACTGTTTGTTCAATACTTAGTATATGTAGTTTCTTGTCAAAAAGGGCATACTTTGTAAACATTCAGCAACGTTACTTGAATTAATCTTTCAGGACAAGCAAAAGAAAAACTATTGGAAGGTCCAAAAAATACACTGGAGATTTGTGTATGTTGGCTGGTTTGCCACAAGAAGCTCTCTCTCAATACCTTATTGCTGGAGAACATTTAAGAGTCGTGAATGATCTTCTATGGCTTGCTGGTGCATTGGAGGGACAATGTGCAGCATCACTACTACTGACCAGAACTGCTACAGAAAAGGACAGGAATTCATTGATTTTACCAATTGAATGTGCAGCAAATTCTATGAATTTAACAATGAATGGTTTAGGAGGTGATGTAGATGAATCAAAATTTAGGAATCCACAAGCACTCAGTGAAGACGAGATTGTAGAAAGGCTCTCAGAAGCACTGAGACTCTATAACAGAGTAAGTATTCATACTCTCCATACTGTTCTCTGTATATTTACTAAGGTGCTGACAAGGAGAATTTGTCTTACAATCAAGGTTTCTCAAGTTGGTGATCATTTCTTCTATTCTCATGACATTAACATGGGATTCAGTGGTGATATTGTAAGGAGAAACTAGATGCTTGTCATTCTTAGGGGTTAAGGGCTAAGAAATGAATAAAAGGGGTAATTTTCTAAAAAAAATAGCAAGTCAGTTAGGGGTATTATAGAAGCATCAAAGTGAAGGACTAATGCTCAAAATATTAGCTTAAAAAACTCTTTCCGTTGGTCAATTTACATTTTCATTCAGTTGATAAAAGCAAATTATCAGACAGTACAAGTTACAACTCATCTGAGTTACTTTCTGCATGGGATACTTAATGTATGTGGTACTCAAATGGTCAGTGCAAAGGACCCTGGGTAAACCCTTTGACCTCTAAGAGTGATTAGTAACTATTTTCTCCCATCAGTATTACCTCTAAAACAAACATTGAGGTCATGGGAATAAAGGAAATGATCATCAACTTGAGAAGCTATTGATTGTTAAACCAATTCTCTTTGTTAGTACCATAGGAAATGTATAGAGAACAGTAGGGAGAAATTGTATACTGATGTTAGGGTGTAAAGGGTTCAGAGATTGCATTTTGAGACCAAGTCATTGTGTTGTGTTCTTGGGCCAAAAGCTTCACTTTCACAGTGCCTCTCTCTATCCAGGAGTATATATGTGAGTGGGTTTTGGCAAACTTTAGAGAAATCTGTTGACACAGGAGGGGGTGGACTGGCATCCTATCCATGGTGGAGTAGCAATACTCCTATTGGATTCATGCTGCGTTAACTGGGACAAGCACCAGAGTCTTTGCTGCCACTTGGCATGAGTGCACACTCTATCTTATTGATGAGTGAGCTTCCTCTGTCTTAGTGATCTTGATATGTATTTGGTAATTCAATGCAAGCCTGAAATTTAGTCCTCCTTTACAGATTAGATGCTAAATGAAGTCAGATCCATAAGAAGCTCTTTCTCAGTGCATAGTCCAGCACCTTTGACCCAGTTCTAATAATAACATGATTTTGTTTCTGGCCCTCTTATATTTGAGTGTCACCATATAGTTAAAGTTAGTCTCGCACATCTCATAAAATGAGGCCTTCATATCAAACTTAGACAGCTCCATTATGTCTCTGAGAATTTTGTGTTACTTATATTTTCAACAATATCCATTAAGTAATTTTCTTTTTCTTCTCATTTCCTCTCTGCTTGAAAACTGAAATATTTAAAGATAAATCCAATTACACATTTTTCATTCGCAGGTCAAAGGTGCTGCTGTTGTGGAAACAGAAGCTAATCTTAAGTTTACAAGGCTTTTAATCACTTATAAGGTACAGTTGTGTGGTGTAAGTAGTTCATTCAATTGTCAGCTGTACATGGAAAAACCAGGAATTGACAGGGTTATTTTAATTCATCCATGTGTTTCTTTTGTGGGAAATGCAGTGGCTTGGTGTTTAGTGCACTGAACCTAGTTGAGAGGTCTGGGCTCAAGACCTGGCCTTGTCATTGTGTTGTGTTCTGGGGCAAAGCACTTTCCCCTCCCAATGCTTCTCCCCACCTAGGAGTGTAAGTGGGTGCTGGTGAATTGTTTGGGAAGCCTGATGAAATACTGGGAGGTAGCCTTGTGATGAAGAAGCATCCTATCCTGGGGGGTTATGATACTCTTAGTTGCTTCATGCTATGGAAACCAGGGTTAGCTCTGGCTGGATGGGTTGCCTGACTCAAGTGCAGACTTTTCTTTTTTCATTCCTTTCAACCCTTGTAAAGCAGTGAACAGAGTGAGTTGGCAAATTTTGTTAGGAGTGCCACAGCCTTCTTGGCCTTCACACCACCTTGAATCTCACAAGCCTTACGGTCGTTGAGCAGGGTTACTGGGAGCAAGCTTGAAGGCTTATACCACCTTTGTGCAACATTGTTGTTGATGAGTTTACTGCTAATGTATCCACTCTCAGGAGTGACCAGAAATGAAATTCTCCACACAATATCAATATATTAACATGTAGAAAGGTTATTAGAAGTAAGAAAATGATCAACTAGAGGATATCTAATGATCTCAAACCAAATTCTTAGATCTAGAGTTGAGAAAATATTCCAAAGGCCACATATCATACTGATTTTTGAAATCTTAGATAAAAAGGTTGACTTTGACTTTTTTGACTTTCTACAGAGACGAATTGATGCTAGTGTGGCACTGCAGAATTCCCTTTCAGTAACTGTTTCACTGACAGAGCAAGAAAAGGTAAGAAATCTACGAAACTGACAGTAACACTGTACTCAGAGTTAGTAGGTGGCATGGAAAACTTGGGAAGTTATGCCACTTGAATTTTCCATGTTTCTAGTAACAATGATATTCACATCTTCTTTAGTGATTACACTGTACAATCTTTCTTATTGTTTGTGAAAATAAAGATTTTTTTTATCAACATTTAGATCCAGCGGTACAGTGCTGCAGCAGTGTTGTATGATGAGCTGGGATTTCAACGCAAGGCTGGATTTTTCAGTCGGATTGCAGCCATGCAGTGTGTTTCACAACTAATGCCACATCCTCTGTGGCTCTATGTAAGAAAACATCATTCTATTAATATTGTTCAATTTCGGCAATTATCAAAAGTTTTACTGGTCTTCAAGAGTAGTGACCCACAAGGGATCATTTAACCCTTTAACGCCAAAGACTGACCAGTATCTTCTCCTTGTCAGCACCTTAGGAAATGTATAGAGTGCTGTATGGAGACTATGCATACTGATGTTAGGGTGTGTTAGGGTGTAAAGGGTTTGTAAAAGCAATGCAAATTTTCTTGTATTCTCCTAATTTTTCTTGGGGATTAACTCCCAAGATCTGATTGTTAATTCTCCCCTCAAGCTGCTACACATTTCTTCATAAATTAATTATGAGAATTTGGTGTTAGATCAAGATAACTTCTACCTGATAAGTTTGAGTTCTCTCATTACCTTTTTGCTGGATAATGTATGAATATTATGGGGAGAAGTTACATGTTAATCACTTCGAGAAGTTAAAAGGTTAACTGATAGAAAGTGCATGTAAAGTCTATTGCTTTTACATTATAACTTTTATTTGTTTACTTGCACCTCGTTTATAAATGGTGGAAATAATTATTTTCCTATGACCTGTACGGCCCCACTCGTGCAATCCCATAAACATAACATACTGAAAGCCAACATATGTAAGTCTCGACGGGTTGACATGAGCCGGTCCGGAGAAAGGTTGTCTAGTGCACTTGTACGTCTTTGTTGCCGAAAAAAACAAGAGGAAACATGTTTGCTGTTGTCGCCAAAAATGAGTGAGAGCAGTAAAAAAAAATAATAAAATAAGTCACGTTTTTCGATGAATTGCGAGCTTCGTGTTCTAACTCAAAACAATTAACAAACTGTTTTCATTGTAGATTTTTTTTGTGGTTTTCCAGCACGCGCCAGTCTATCGCATCAAATTAAGTCACAACAATTTTTTAGAATTTTTCAAAACTTACTCAGTGTTCATATGAAAAAATGCTTATTGACTGCGTGGGAGGGCCGGATGGGAAAATAATTATTTGGCTTTCGTTCATGACGCATAGACCTTGCATACGTCATGGCCTCGAGCCTAGTATTTTCCCGTTCGGCCCTCCCACTCATTGAATAACTACATATTATTTTGTGTGCGTGCAAATAAGCCTTGTTGGCCTCACTCTTGAGTGAAAATTCTGTTGTTCTTATACATTTTGATTAGCTCAGGAAGACGAATTTATTTAACAGTTTATAAAGAGTCACCAGGGACTTTTTTTTCCTTTCAATTACGATTATGTCAACAGTGATGAATAATGATTTTAGATATGTGAAATTCATATATTTGCACTGCGGTGAAGAAACTAATTTAAGAGATCCTCGCAGCTAAGAACACCACTGAACTAGTAGTTGAAAATAGGACCTGAAAAAATTCAGGCCCGTACGGGATTTGAACCCATGACCTTTGCGATACCGGTCCAGCACAGCAGTGTATATTGAAAGTTGAATCTTGAAAAAATGAAAGGAATTTTTTTTCCTCTATATAGTCTTACAAATTTCTCATGAGTGCACTGAAGGGGTACAGAATTTCTCTCGATCAAAAAGATGTTGCCACAGGTATGTTGTCTTGTACTGAAAGTTGCACGAGCATTGTGTAGTGTGGTACTCTTGTCTTGTTCCGCGATAAATCATTCTCAGTTTTTGGAAAGAGTATGTATGAAAAGTTTGGCACAATGATACAAGTATGTGATTCTTAGCTCTTACTTGTTTTTGAATAAAGGTGCTACAAATGGTTGGCCAGCTCTCCAAATCCGGCTTCTCAATGAGCTTATTTACACTGCTCGCCGGCTAGGAGATCCTTTCGTGGTGTTTAGGTAAGTACAAGAAACATGAGCACAGCTTGGTCTAGACTACTAGAGGAGGGAAGGAGCGTGATAGCGATGAACAGCGGTTGTGGTTGCTAGAGAAACGGTTGAACTGCCGCTGTTTTTCGCGCGCATGCTTTTGCGCTGACCGAGAGCCTCTCTTATGTTAACTTGGGCGTGACTCTAGCTTACGTGCGGTGTTGTGTGACATAAACGCCGTTAGCAAATGTTTGTACATGTGTGTAGTCTCTTTAGCAGATGTTGATTGGTCACGTCACGCAACGCCTTCATTCCTCCTCCAAACGATGGCTGTGAAGAAGACAAATTTGTGCGGAGCCGCAACGGTTTTTTTTTTTTTAATGAATTGCGGTGTTTTGTGAATAATTGACTCAGCTCATCGTTTTGTGGTACTCGTTCTTTTGTGCCATCGTCTCAGTCCGTTTTAGAGGTGGCATCGGTGAGTTGATTAGCGCGATTTGGTGTTCCGCTAACACTAAAGCTACCCAGCCACGCATACTCGCCGAAACCGCTGAAAAAGGTCTAATACACTGCCAAACGACAAGAACTACGTAAAGACAAGTCAGTTAAATTAAAAATATGTATATATCTGACATTTTCAATGACAAAGAGAAAAGACAGTTTAGTTCCCTTTTAAATCTCTACAAATGGCGTCTTTGTGACAGAATACTGCTCGAAATCAAGAGTCAAGGTTTAGGTTTGTTACATGTCATAGGCGGAGGCCGCCTGTGTGAAGAGATGCTGACGATGTCTCCATTAAATGACTTCTTTTCAGGCATATCACATTTTTACTGCACACAATGCATGACCATTTGAGTGATGACGAAATGAAAGAGTTATGTGTACTTTTGGAGAGTTCAGCCAAGCAGTGTACCGGATCACCTAGATCTCCCAAGTCGCCCAAGGAAACAGATGGGCAGAAAATTGATGCCTTAGACATGGCTTTGATACCCCTTACTAAAATGCCTCTTGTTAGGTGAGCAAAGATGAACAACTTTTGAGCAGCTTCAATGCGTCTCTCAATTAGTACGTGATTGGTTAATTTAGTTGGCCGTGCTTACTGCACGGCCCGCCAAACTCACAAGTTTGTTTGAATTGAAATCTTTGCTCTGTATTTAAACCCAGAGACATAATAAATATCGTACTTACATCATTTTCTCGGTCCATGCCATAATTTACGGAGCCTCGTTTTTTTGGCACGGATTTAAGGCCCGCGCGCCTGGCGCTTCTACCTTGAAGCCGCGCGGAAAAACACTCGGTCCGTAACTTACAGTACGGAGCTCGAACTCAGTTGGTAAGAGGTTTGTACGAAATGAAAGCAACGTGCAGTAACTTTTATTGGAATTAGTAAGCTGTCATTTACAGTTAGAAAAGCAAGGAAAATTACTTTGTTCCTTAAAAGAAAGAAAAAAGTACCACGGCGATACGATTGTCAATGAATTTTACCTCTTAATTATTCCATTCCTTTACTTCAGATCGTTTAAAGTTCAACCTCTTCCTCTACACATGAAACCTGTTGGAAATAAATCAGTTGTAGCGTCTGACTCGGAATCAGCAGGACCGTTTATATTCTCATCTCTCAGAGGAAAAGTTAAACAATCAAAGAAAGGCAAAAGTGAGACTTTGTGTTTTTGTTGTTGTTGGTGTTGTTATATTGTTGATGTTGTTGTTATTGTTGCTGTTGTTCTTATTGTTGTTGTTGTTATTGTTGTCGATGTTGTTACTGGTTTTGGTATCGGTACTGGTAATATTGTTGTTGGTGTCGTTATGATGTTAATTTTGTGATTGTTGTGGGTGTTGTTGTTGGTGTTATGATGTTGTTATAGTTGTTGTTACTGGTGTTAGTGTAGGTGTTGGTTCTGGTGGTGTTGTTGTTGTTGGTGGTGTCATTATGATGTTGATGTTGTTATTGTTGTAGTTGTTGTTGTTGTTGTTGGTGTCGTTTTTCTTGGTGGTGTTGTTATCATTATTATTACAGATGATATCATTATATTTGCTTGAAGATACCGCTGACTAGCATCCGAGTTGATCACATCGTCCCCAGGTTCCGGGCCTCGTCAGTTCTCCCCCTCCCCACACCCGGGACTGGTCCCTACATGCCCTTGAAGAAACTCTTCTACAGCCAGTGCTGAAGAGATTTATTGCAATTTTTTTATTATAATGAAGGGCTGGAAAATAAACTGACAAGAGATCCGCTTTTAGGCTTGGCTAACTGTCATTACTTGTACATTATCCAGCAAAAAAGTAATGAGAGAACTCAAACTTATCAGGTAGAAGTTGTTATCTTGATCTATTGAAGACGATAAAAATAACAATCGTTATTACAGTTATCACTGTTATATTTATTATTAATTGTGTTGTCAGGTGTATTAATGAGTATGTTAGAGTGTAAAATTCATATATTGGGTGTTTCTTCTCTACAGATACAACTTGGGTGTGCGGGGACATCGGTCAAGTTTCGTTGGATGTCTACAATCCTATGCCATGTGAATTAAGAGTCTCTCAGATGGTATAGCATAAAACTGTGATGTAATGGCTTAGCGTATTTGAGTTAACCCTTTCACTGCCGAGATTTCTTAGCAATTCTCCTTACTGTACGCCATACAAGTCTTATGATGTTAGTTTAGAGAATGTGGTATTGGATCAAGTAATAATCCATTGGTATTTTTCTTTATTCTCGGCCATTGTCTGCTTGATTTTGTATTGATGTTGTTATAAGAAAGTCTGTCTTGATAACTCATCGGAGTTGAGGGGTTATTGAAAAACTTGACGGGCTTTAGTCGTTAGATATTTCAGACAGTGTGGAGAATTGATCTTTGAATTTTTTGATGGAAAAAGTTGATTTTACATTCCTGCTTAAGGAACTCACCATTTTTCCAAAAACATGTTCGGTATAAAAGTTTGATTCATGTTTGAAAATGGAAAGAACCACTTAAATGATTATTAACCTACCTTCATTTTATGGTCTTTTTAAAGGAGGTAATAAATATGGTGATTGATAAATTTATTGATTCACTGATTCACGAGCTTTGTGACTTGCTAACACAAATCCTTTTGTAATTCTCTCCCCTTGCAGATTCTTTGTGTTGAAGGAGTGGAATTTGAGCCGTACCCAACGTGTTTGTCTCTACCTCCAAAGGCAGGCCCCCATACAGTGATATTGCTCGGGATACCAGCCTCTGCAGGGTCAATGAGAATTACTGGTAAGTGTCACTAGGAAGGAGGGACAGGGGAGGGGTAAGTGTGACCGTAGGGGAGGGGTCATAACGCGGTTATTTTTCTCTGGATACCGCCATTTTCAGACCAGATAAGAAATACTGGTAATTATAAAATAATTCAAACAGTACGCGCGCTCCGATTGGCCATAAAACCATTTTACATGAGCGTATGTAAACACGGTTTTCGTTCCTCTTTCATTAGTTATTTTATAAAAGAAATGTAAAATGGTTTCCTTGTTTACATAGCCTGATGTAAACACTTGGGAGGTTGGGAGAACACTCGATAAGCTGGAAACCATTCCGCTTCGCGTCGTGGTTTCCTACGCTTATCTCGTGTTCTTCCAACCTCTCGCGTGTTTACATCAGGTTATGTAAACACGGAAACCATTTTACATTTCTTCATTGTAATGAAGTTGGGGGAATCCGGAAGGGAAGAAGGTAAGTGTTCCCAGGGGTAAGGGATACTAGGGATAATAGTGTTACGGGGGGGGGGGGAAGGACGGGGTAAGGAATGATAACGGAGGGATATGTACCGCTGAAATGCAAAAAAAGTGTTTCTCATTTTGTCATCACGTAATTCCGATTTCCTTGTTGACCAAAATGCACCGTGTGAATTTTTGGGCCTTAATTTCAAAACTAAGTTATTTTTTAAGCAAGATATCTTGTTTAAAGTGCCGCTAATTCCCCCAACTTATCATCATATATTTCTTTGTGTTCTATTCCCAAGAATTTGGTTTTTACATCAACGCCATGTTTCCAACTTTCTACTTTTCATTCCTCCCTTTACCTATTTTCTTTACCGTGTTTTGAAATTAAATAATAATTTATCAGATGATTACTCCGATATTTGGTAGGTTATTCTGTGACAGTATTCGGCGTCGAAAGCACCTGCAAGCTGACAAAAGAAAATCTGGAGAACAAAGACGACTTTCCTGTGATTGTAGACGTGACTCCTTCGATGCCCTTAATCCAAGTGTCCACAACTCTTCCCAAGGTCCGTTGTCAGCCGCCTGATCCTGACACCCCCCAAGCTGTGCCCCTTGTGACGGCGGTTACATTGTACGCTGGGCAGAGGTGGGTGCAAAAGCGAAACCCTCGTTCAAGAAGCTCCGTTTTCCTTAAAGAAATTAGCGGCTTTCATCTCATCTCTAACCTGACTTTTAAGTACAAATGCGTTGAGAAGGTTGTAGCAACAAAAATATGTAGTCATGTTGAGGATAACAGCTTAAGAAACATATCACTCCGCATAAAAACAACATCATAGTACAGATATGGCATTATTGAAGGTTCAGAACGATGTACTCCAAGCCATTGACAACAACAACAACTGCGTGATATTCCTTCTATTCTAGAGCTTTTAGCAGTGTTCGACACTGTGGATCACTGTAATCTTTTGGGTCGTCTTTAAAATTGCTTTGACATTGTGGATAATGCGCTCGAGTTGTTCAGATCTTATTTGTCCAGTCGTTACCAGAAAGTGAAAGTAGACGGTGCTGTGTCATCTAGTCGCGAATTGCAATACAATGAGTCCCAGAAGAGTGGGGTTTTTTTAGTGGTCTAATGAACAAGTTTTACCGGCCTCATCAGCTGATCCTAGCAGTAAGCAGGACTCGTGTCCCATGGCAACCTAGAAACGGCTTAGTTCCGTTAGATTCTTATCTGTTCTCCGTTAATGATATAATGGTTGATCGTTCCGGATCAATATCAGTATCTGGGTAACTGCCCACCTACCCCTCCCCTAACTCAACAACAGTCAATTGATAACAAGTTAGGGTTAGTGTTGCGTTAGGGGAGGGGTAGGTGGGCAGTTGCCCAGATACTGATATTAATCCATCATTCCTCTCTTTGTTAACAGCATGAAAGGGACCATTAATCTGGAAAACATTGGCAAGATGCCAGTCGAAAGTCTGAATATTTCTGTTACTAGCAAGGATGGGGAAGGTAAGGAGTTAACCCACTACACACCGGATAGCCGCAGGGGAGGGGAAGGTGATCGTCATTAGTGCAGGTTTGATGAGGGAGATGCTAGATGTCTTCGTTCACTACGATAAGGAGTTAAGACAAGAAGTAGATGAAAAAGTGTTGTCTATCGTATGGCTCTGAACATCTTTGTTCCATAAAGCGACAAAGGTTACTAGTTGGCAAGCTTATATTGGATTCTAACCATTCCCTGTCATCTATATTGGCGCCTTTTAGCTGCTTTTTTTTTCCCAAACAGCTTCCTGTCGACATGAGGTGAATGTTTCTTTCTCAAAATATAACACAGTCACTCAGGCCAGAACTCGAACCCTCTTGATTAAACAATTGGGCCGCTGCCTCTCTGTTTATTTTTAAAAGCGGAGTTCAACGGCCAACAACGTATCCATACTTAAGAAAATATAGTCAGCCGTTGAGCTGAGAAAATACATCCGTTTATCCGTACGGAGATACTTGGTCCGACGGTTAAGGTTGAAGGTGAAGGTGAGCAAGCTGACCAAAACGTATTTTCCTTCTGCTTAGGACTCGATGAACTCTTCAGTTTTGATGAGGAAGAAATCAAGTCCAAGCTCCCAGTCCTTCCTGGCCACTCCACCGACATCACAGTAACAATAACTGGCGCTCATCGCTTCCCACAAGGCACCGAGAGCAATGACAATCCCAGCTACGATCCGGCGGCACCATGGGGCTTGACCGGTTCAATCCAGTTCCGTTACTCAATAGGATCTAGCAGTCACATGTCACGCAAGGTCACCATGGCCATAGATGTGACAGTAGTGCCCAGCTTAATCTGTGAAAACTATCAGATTATAGAGCTCCCTAGGTAAGATGCGTGATAATCTCACTTAGAGTTTTGCGTGACAATGTTTACTGATGAAGACAGTTAGTAGCTACACAGTTACTTAGCCTGTCACGTAACGCTTAGTTTCCCCAAACTAGCCTTAGAAACGGCAATTTTCTACATGTTTGTGTCTGGCGTTTAAAGCTCATTACACAACACCCTGCTAAAAGTTGACTTGACAACGTAGGCAGTAACCTCTCACTGACAGACTAAAATACTCAGGGGAATATTTTACCATCACGCGATGCTGAAAGTTATGAAGAACGACTCTCACAAGTATAAACTAACTGTCTTTTCTTTTCATCTTATTTTTTTTTTTTAAGTGATCGATCTCATTGTTTACTGATGTTTGATGCTGTTAACAAGACCTCCAATGACATGGAACTGTCCCTGTGTGTTGGCAACTGTAATGAATCTAATTCTGGTAAGTGTTGAATATTTCACCCACTAGGTTTCTGCTGCTGTAATTCTTCGCTTATTTTGATTTTTTTTGTTTTTTGGTAATTTTTTGCAGTAGAAGGAGAGTTGACTACGGATGGTGCGATGAATATTCAAGGAAATGACAAAAATAGGTGAGATTTTTTTTTTTTTTTTTTTTCATGTTGCTGGTGTTGCTTTCTCGAAGTCAATCACGGTATTTATGGTTATTTCGTTCCCTTACTCCAGGATAACGATGAATTTGCCGAGATTTACTTTACCAGTGTCTGATAAACATAACGAAGAGGTGAGCATTTTTCATAGTCTTGAAAGTTTTCTCAGATTTTTCTCGTACCCCATTCCGAAATCCATTATTGGTATCCTACGACACAATAACTAGTGGTGATTTATGAAATAGTTGAGATATTACGATCACCCTGATCGGTCAAAATCCTTAGTTTATATACAGTACGAGCGCCCTGATTGGTCCAAACCCATGGTTTATTGCACCTGTAAACCCATAGGAAATAGTGTGCTTTGTTTAAAGTTTATTTTAATAACGCAATAGACCGCAATTTCTATCGGTTTACTAGGTTAATATCTCACTTGTGATGTGTTCTCCCAACTTCGCTCATGTCCAGAAATGCACGCATTAACGAAATGGCAGATTTAACGATTTAGGCGAATTTTAGTAAAATTCGTCAAAGCGAAATCAGTTTGGCGGAATTTACGATTTTGACGAATTTCAGTCAAATTCGTCGAAGCGAATTTAACGATTTGACAAATTTCCCCTATTTTCGTTACTGCATGCATTTCTGGACATACGTCCTTCCCGCGTGGGTTATGAAGCCGGTAAACCGATAGAAATTGAGGTCTATTGTTGAAAAGTAATTCACAATTTTTCCAAGACTTTTCATTGACGTGTTTTTAAGGTTAATGCTGACTCCCAGAGACGCGCTGAATACAAAAGAAGAGTTTGTGACTTGGTTAAGATTCGTTGGAATCTTGTATCCTTTTCGTAAATGCGAGGTTTGGGCATGGTAGAAATTTGCTGAGAAGTTTGAGATGATCATGGTCATCCATTGTTGTGAATAATTATACATCGATCGGTTTTAAAAGGCAAACTTCTTGTCAGTAAGAATAAGAATTTCTGAGTTTCCTTCTCAGACGTTGGAGATTCCAAAACTAATTTTCAATACGTGAAGAAACTAAAATGGAAAGAAAGATTTAAAAAAGAGTCCTTAAGAAAAGGTGATCGTTATTAAATGAGCTAGTTAACTTTCACGCAGATTACCTTTCAAAAGGGCAAACAATTTTAGAGCGAGATCGGAGAGGTTTTAATTTGGGTGCAAACCCTTTCAACCAATACTCCGCACAAGCCACAACTTGGCACTTTCTTGACACTTACTACTTTTACTTGAGTCTGAAAGAATAATTGAATTTCATGCTCAAACATTTTTACAAACCCTGTGATTAAACATTTACAATTCATTCCTAAGGCTTTCAGGCCCTTTTCCCTCGTTCCCTCCCTTGTGTAATCTGCAGGCATCACCGATATTGCTGTGTTATCCTTGATTGTGTGACAGCCGGCATGTAACGCTGAAGGCTGTGGTAGTGTAGAGAATCTGAAACTAAACCCAAGTATGATGCAGGCATTGAGACCAGATCCAGTCACATTTGGTGAGCGACTGATATGTGAAGTATCTAAATGGTTAAGACTGTAAACGTAAAATAGTCTGATGAAAGAAACGGTAGTTTCCTTAAATATTTTTCCTGGAAGTGTTAAAACAATCCTTGTTTTCTCCTTTCGAATTGCTGTGGGAATGCAGACTTTTTGTTTCTTTTTTATGTTGGCTACATTTCTTATTCGTTATGTAGAAAAGTTTCAATGAGCCTACATGCGCAACATTTCAATTCACTTGACCTCTGCAGTTGGTGATTTCTGCTTAATGCGCGTACTTAGAGGCTACGTGATCCTGCAAGTGTTCAAGAATGTCAAAATGCTGATACAAAAATATTTTGGGAATCACTCGCCTTCGGATAAGCGCATATGAAACTCTTTCCGCGTGGGCTCCATTATATGAATGTCATCACTTGCTCCGTGCTTTCCTCGTTATAATCACATAAGCTACGATTTTAAAGGATTCGTCGTTCTTTAGTACATTTGTCATGGAATTTTCTTGGTAATTATGATAGAATATGATTGGATGGGAAGTTTCTTATTCAAAGGTGTTCAGATCAATGGAGAGGAATACGACAACACTACATCAAGTGGAATCACTATCTCACTGTGCACGATTGTGAAGCTCAATGTTCATGTGTCTAATCAAAGTGGTAAGTCGTAACGTGATTTCAGGTTTTGCGTGACATTCTCGACTTATTCCCAAGTTGAAGATCACCTTTGTGAAAGTGAGTGTCTTGCCTTAAGAACTCGACGCAATCTCTCTACTGGGTCTCGAACTCGGGCCCTCTCGGTTTAGAGTTCAGTGTGCTTACCACTTGACCACCATGTCCGTCACTTACGCGTATTCGCGTATCTTTACTCTATTTGCCCGGTGACTATGATGCACCTAATGCGCATGATTCTTGTTAAGGTTGTAACTTCACAGAAACTGTGATGGGGTGTTATTGGAGAATAGCGGGATGATTACCCTCTGTCACAGCATAAGAGTGCAATGTATGTAGTGGCGAAACAAGTAACTATTAACTCCATCTTTTTTTTTTCTCCTTTTTTTTCCAATATCAGATGAACCTCATGGGCCTTTAGTGTTAGCCATTGAACCTTACCAAGACCAGGCCTCCGGTTTTCCGGTGACCGAGCTGGATGGAAAGGTGGCCTGGGCAGGAACGTTACAAGTTCATACTCCTGAGGTAGTAACATGTGGTGACGTGTTTGCTGTGTTTTGTCTCTGGGGAGGGGAGGGTTGGGTAAGAGGAACAGGATGAGGAAAAAAAAAACAATGTTTGCGTTGCCCTTTTAGCCTACTACTCCCAACAACAACGATCTCGTCCAGTACTCATTTCTATTTCAATCCTCGCGGAAACCAAGAAGTGGTTGAAAGTATGGTTATTTTAAAGCGTCTTGATACAAATCTAATCGTGAGCAAACTAAAATCTCAATGAAATTTGGTTTTTATCAGCTAAGTTGATAATGTGAAATGGCCTCCGTGAACTGATTTGAAGATGGCGTTTCAAGTTGAGTGTTGGCCATTTGGATTCGCTTTGATGAAGGACTAAGGCTCGAAACGTCACCTTTAGATTCTCTTTACGGTGTCCAATTACAATATAAACTCAGTTGAGTTAAACCAAATTATTTTTGTAACATTCCCCCCCCCCTGCGACGCATAGAAACTTATTACTTCTCATTTAACGTCTCCATGAACTGAGATCAAGTCTCTTCAGGGGGGGCAGTGTCAATCTTGTTGGCAATTATGGTTCGAATTCTTTACTTCAAAGGATATTCAGCTCTAACATATATTACTCATCCCTGAGCACAATTATTTGCCCTCTCATCTGCCTCTCAGTCATCAGTGTTGTTCGACATTTCATTTCAAGTTGCGAAAATATCGCAATGCTTCGCTCTGGATATAAACCTGCATTTCAATGGCTCCTGGTTAATATTGCTAGTCCATCGCCTTTCAAAGACATCAAAATGTTTATTCCTTCTTCAGGTACTACCCGGGAAGTCTTTCTGTCACTCGTGTTCGCTGATTTTTTTGTATGCGGGACAATTCATGGTCTCCATTTCTTGTACTGAGACCGCAACGGAACAAACCGCAACTTCTCAACAGGGAACTGGATCCGAGTCACCAGAAAGAACTTGCAATTCTGAAAACACAGAGAAAGCTGTCAAAGGAGAAATACATGGTTTGAAGAGATCATGGACATATTCGCCGTCTGTTAAAATACGCGTCGTATGATGAGAGCCATCGAAGAGGAATACCTTGCAGCTTAGCACTTCGAATTAAAAAGCGCCGTGGTTCCCTACAAAATGTCATTAATATATATGAGTTATTTAGAAGAGTCCTTCCAAATGATGTGACGTTGTCAAATCAACGTCATTTTCCATAGCAGCGCATTGACTGATATGTGTTGTCATCTGGAATCCGCTGATTTATAACTGCGCTGGCTCAGTTACGCACAGTTGGGAACCAGCGGGCTGTGACTAGTTTCAAACTTCTCATAACATTGCTTTATGAATTCCTGGGGAATTGTGATGAGAATGAAGGAACGTGATCTTTTCAACTAATCCTGCTGGAGAAATAGATACTCCCTAATCTGGTCTACAGTGTAAATACACCACAAAAACCGAGAGATCAAACAGATGGAATATGCCAAGATACACGTATCAAAAAGTGAGCTGGCAGGTCCAACAAACAAAACGCAACATGATATGGGTGCGCGAAAACGTGCAGGATGGCCTAATTTAAGTTAACTTTCTTGATAAGCAGTCGCGGTGCCATTTTGTGTTTTTAAAGTCATACTCACATTAGCGAATCCAGGGGAATATTCGGGAGATGGGTGGGGTAGGGTTCGTTACTCCTTCCCCTCCCCTCCCCTCCACCGTTGGGTTTCATCCGTTTGTGTTACACCAAAATTCTCAGAATAGTAGGATCGCTAGTTACCAGTGCTTTAATTTTTACAAATTTTGCAAAATTTAGTTGCATAAATAAGTAGGCTGTAGTGTTAAAAAATTGTCGTTATTTTCTCATTAAAAGTTTACACCCCTCCCCTCATTAGAGGTTCCTGGATCAGCCATTGGTTCACAAAGCGACGACTTCTTGTTCTCTCGCGTGCAAGCTGATCTCGGATCCCCATTGGGTGGTCAAATCTTGTGTCACAAGTCGAGTTTGTTGCTTAGCAACAGGCCAGACGCGATAACTCCCAAGATCCCAAAACCAATTCTCTCTTCTAGCTGTCATACTTAGCCCTGTAAATAAGTTAGGAGAATTTGGTAATATATCTTGAAAACACAACTCCAGCTGTTGATTTTTGTTTATCCTCAACATATCACTTCTGGAAAATATAAGGAACTTGTGAAGAGTAACGTCATATTTTGATTATTTTTTTAAGATGAAAATGTCAAATTCGTTTTCGCGCAGCGAGTATTTGTCCAACAACCGAACAAGCTAAAAGTGGCTTTGAGACTTAGAATGATTTTTACGTTACAACCGTGAGAAGTCTTGAAGGTAATAACAAGTGTGTGGCCGATGTAAAATACAAAATTGCGTTTCAGGAACTGTTCCAAATATGAAACACACTTGAAAATTCTAAGCAGCTTTAATCATCAAGGGTATCTGACTGACAATTGACTCTCAATAAACGAAAATAATTAGGTAAAACATGGAATAAATAAAATGACATTTATATGTTAAATATGTTACTAATACTTGAAGGAATTTTTATCGTTTTTTTTTTTTACTGTATTTTTTCAATGTCTTGGGCTTTTTATCTGAAACGATGCGAGCCGTTATGAATTGAATTCCCGTCCCCAAATTCATAACATTTCAAATACCTGATCAAAAAATTTGAACCTAAATCAAACCCATTATCCAAAGCAAATCTTTATTTTCCATTGACGCAAATTTTCAAATTAATTTTACCGTAAGCAGCTGGTTTTAGTTTGTTTACCTCTCTAAAGTTGATTTTATAATACACTGGAGCGAAACTAGCAATAGAAATTGTTATTTCCCGGGCTAATACCCACATCGCCTTAAATCCTAGGTTTGGATGAGTTTTCAACGGGTGGCATGCAGGTGGCAAATTGAGAACAATCTGTATGTTAGTTTGTGGTCATTGACTAAGGATCGTGATCACAAAATTGCGTTACCCTTCTCCAAAGTGAAATAAAACCCTTTAAAAAAAGGACATCAAGGAAAGATTATGGTGTAGCGGGGTTGCAAAATGGTGTAGCTTTAGAAGAGAATAGTGATCTCCGTGAAAAATCAAGTAGAAATCTTTAGTTTGACACTTTCTGGCCATCGTTGAGAACCGAGTGTTTCTTGGCGCGAAAATTTCGTCAGCCAATAAGCGGCTTGCTAAATGACGTAATGTTTTGGTCGGTAGAGTGATTTCATTCCAAAAAAATGACAGGATGGGGACCATAGCGGCTTCAGTGGAACGAGTTACGTTTATTTCGGATTAACTAAGGCATAAAGACACGGCCAAAGAATTTCCAGAATGGGTGAACACGTTGTAGGAAGCTGTGAAAACATGGATGTGCTGTTTTACGAGCAGAGCGCATTACCAGTGAACAGTTTTTCGCGTTATGACAAGAACGCGTTGCGGTTGAATCTCGAAGGTCATCATCCGTCAGTCGTACAGGAATACAGAGGGAACGGAAAGTTAGGAATTTACGAGAATTCGCCTGAATTATCTTTGTTCAAAATGGTTTCTCCTGAGCTGGAAAAGTTTATTGCAAGCAATACGGGGCTAACACCTAAAGGAAACCCTGGAGGAATTAATTCACCAGAATTTACTTTATTTAATCTGATTTCACCAGAGTTTGAAAAAATTCTCGCCAGTGTTCAGAATCAGAAATCGCCAACGCATATTAAAGGTGCGCGAGAAGGGAACCACAGCGTTAAGCAACAGCACGAAGCTTATGTCCAAGGATTTGCCGAGGCTCTACAACAAATCCATGATCGACAGCAACAACCGGTCGAACATCTCAACAAGCAAAATACAATACCCGTTAGTTCAGGTACCAATAACACTTGGGCAGAACCTGAAAACACAGTTAACAACTTCCACACGCAAATAGCCGTTAATGAGACATCGTATGATATCAGAAATCCCCCTTACGCCGGGGTGACAACTTATGAACATCATGAACTAAACCCGACGGCTTTTACGGCCCCGGTTGTGGCAGAAACAGAAAATTTTGAATACGCTGAGGACTCTTTGAAACCGCAACCAGGGAATGTACTTCCTCTACCGCCCATAGATTTAGAACTTCAAGAAATTGTAAAACGCGAACGAAAGAAACAGAAAAATAGAGTGGCAGCGTCAAAATGTAGAAAAAAGAAACTTGAAAGGGAAGCACAGCTTGAAGTTAGAGTACAGCAATTGAAAGATAAAAATATTGAACTTAACGCCGTGGCGAACGCGTTACGCCAGCAAGTAAGTGAACTGAAGCAACGAGTTTTAGAACATGTAGCGTTCGGATGTCAGCTTCCTTCCATAGCGTCAGCTTCTTTCTAGAATTCACATTTCAAATAATTCTACTTGTCTTTAATTGATAATACAGTTTCCTTCCTTTTAGATTTCTTCTAAAAAGTTTGGTTCGCTCTTACAGAGCGGTTAAATATCGCGTTTGAAAATTCCAGGAATGTGTCCAATTTTGTGTTTGTTATCACCCGTTTAACATCCCGGCTGCAGGTGGCGGGAGTGTTTTCTGAAGAGAGAAAGTTAACAAACGATTAGCAATAATAAAAGTACTGTTTTTTTCCACTCCCATGCTAAGTTATATGCAAGATTCAGAATATTTGTGTGGGACAAAGGGCGTTAGATTAAATATGAACTGGTAGCGGTTGAAGACAACTGTTCTTCGAAAGGTAATTTAGGTAATTTAGTTGAAGAAAGGCGAGTTGTGCCCTTGACTTCCTTGGAGCAGGTAGTTGTCATGGTCTAAGGCGATGGGAGAGTAAAAAAACAGAAATTTCACGCATTTTGAGAGCAATTCCCTAAAACTTTCAGGTGTTTTTTCTTCTTCTTCTTCTTTACAAAAACAAAACTAGTTAAAAAGAATCGTTGAAATTTACTACAAATATTCACCAATGTTTATAAAACGCAAGGAAATGTACATAATTTAATTTTGCACGACCGCTAGCTCTGTTAATATAACTTTAGCATTCCTTGAAAAAAATAGCATAGTAATTTAATTCAAGAAATTAGACGACAATAGACCGCACTTTCTATCAGTGGACTTGGGTAATTAACCACGCAAGAAGCCGGGAGAACACGAGAAATGATTGTAAATCACCTTCGGAAGGCGAGTGATTTACAAGTTTTTCCGATGTTCTCTCAATATTGCGCTATTTAACCGATCAAAACCGCGGTCTAATGCCTTTAATAAAATAACTATGGATTTACTGCTGCAATAAAATATGTTTTTTTAACCGATCAGGGGCACGTAGTATCTAAGTAGATGAAATCAGTCAAATGAAGCCTCTCTTAATGTATATGAAAGTTTCGTACCGAAGTTGATGTTGAACAAGGAAATTGTTAGCTCACCAACAATAATTCGCAATCGGTTTTTGTCGAAACGAACCAGCTATTTAGTCTCCACTGCACAACAATAACACAGTAGTGTAAACCATTTATTTAGGGAAGCCTGCCGAGAACCAACCCGAAGCATATATTGCCCAAGGCATACATACATGCATACATTCGCAACTGATATACCACATACAATCCTGATATACAGTCAATTCCTTACACATTCAAAAATAGGTATACATCACTAAAATGTAAACTTCACTAAGTCGGGATTAACAGAGACGGGCAACCGTTTACAAGGACATTACTATGGTTATACAAGGGCCAGAAAAAACCTGCCAGAAAAAAATGACAGGAAATCTGGATAGGAACCATGACCCAAACTCAGAGCAGTTAGCAGCCCATCCTACGAGGTTTCACAGTTAAACAACTAGTAAGTTTACAAACTAAAATAAATTTGTCATCAGCCAAAGGTGGAAGGTTGGTTCTGAGGCCTAGATGGACACAACATGCTATACTCCCCTTTATATACCACTGCATCATTACCCATGATGCTCGGGCCTAAGGCCCAGGCCTTGTTGTATCTCGTGCCGACAAAATATTTATTTCTGCCTTACTCGCAGACTCAGTCGTCAGAAATACCATTTTTATTAATAATCACTCGAAAACTCCTTTTAATTCTTCATTTCCGCCAATTAAGTTTGATACTCTACGTTTTTGTCAAATATTGACAATCACCAACTAGCAGATTATTTGTGTTTATTCCAGCCTTTGGGTCCTGTCCACGATAAAGAAATATCCATCTTCGTCTTACTGTCTTGTATCACCCGTGTGCACCATTTCAATCATTTGGCCGGTAGCTTCAGGATTATTCACGTAACCTGGGGGAAATTGTAATTCAGACAGACGCTTAGGGACAAAAAGCGAAGACGCACCGCAAAGAACGATTTTCTTCTAAAATAAATTATACCGCTTTTGCTGAGACACAGATTTAACGAATAGAGAGATTTATTTCGGTATTAGCCTGACGTTTGGCCAGGGGACGGCGCCTGCTTCGGGACAAACAGCGAGGAAGCGATAAGAGCGATTTTCCTCTATGAGAAATTTTACCGCCGAGTCAGAAATGAACCAACTTTCGTTAGGTTTTCGGAATTAGTCGTTTAATCGGATCGCTAAACTCTCGTCAGGTCTCGCTATTAAATCGGTAAACTTGGTCATTTGTCATGACTATTTTTTATCCCGATCAGGACACAGCGACGAACTTCGTGAAATTGACTGGTATAACTTCCAGGAATAGTCTACAGAGCGTAATAACATTTTTTTGAGATCAAATTACAACAGTTTGCTGCTAGTTTTCGTCGAGTTCAAGAACAAAAGTCTGTTGTGCAAATGATATCTCCTCCCCGGGCAGGTAGGCAGAAGAAAAATTGCACAATATCGGGGACAGAGGTAAACCTAGTAGTAGGGGAAGCTCGTGATTCTCATCCCCAGTTGTCAGCATCTCCGCTAAGAACGTCCGGGATCATGATGTAGCATTGGCGACAAAAAGAGAGAAAGGACAGTTTGCTATTTTCGACTCGAGCGTGATTATAAAATTGAGCATTTTTGATCTTTTTTCTTAAGTGAAGTTAAATTAATGCGATATTTTGGTTCGTTTGGAAGTTATGCTCTTTTTCTTTACAAATCGAAAACATCAGTAACACAAATTGTCCTACCTCAACCCAACTATCCAACAAAAATAACTCTTGCGCGCGTTGCATGCCTATGGCTTAGTCTCGTCACGCAACGCGGTCTCTCGCCAGCTGAGGAGAGAGGGCGTTGCGTGACGAGACTACACATTGACCGAGAAGGAGATTACTGTGTGTGTGAAACCAATACAGCTTAGGGACAATAAACCAATAAACCAATGTGTGCGTTTATTTCAGATAAATTGGAAGTTTTTTTTCTCCTCCCCCTCTCTCTCTCTCTTAAGGTAAAGTAAGAGTATTTTTGTTTATAATTATTCACACAACACAGTCGAGAGACCCCGAAATACCTATGCGTGAGTTTATTTCAGATAAGCTGGAAGGTTTTTTCCTCATTCTTAGTAAAGTAACGCGGTATTTTAGTTCTTTTTAAGGTTAAGGCTCTTTTTCTTTTACAAAAATGAAAACATCAGTTACACAGTGTCCCTCCTCAACTCACCCAGACAAAAAAATATATCTTGCATGCATTGCATGCCTATGATTTTACTGTTTGTACCATCAATGTCTTACGCACCGTTTCTTCAGTTTTTGTTATTGACTTTTACTTCAATGTTTCGTCTAACAAATGTTTCTTGGACAAATGTCCAATCCACTGTTTCAATTTATATTTGCTTCCTACGTTAGAATCTTGCGCCCAGTTTTTTTCCTTAACCCTTTAACTCCCGTCAGTGACCAAGACATAATTTCTCCTTACAATTTCAACACAGAATCAAGCAGACAAGTGAGGAGAATAATGAAGTAAACTCAATTAGGGGACTAAAAGTTGATCCAATACCAAATTCTCCAAATTGAATGGCAGACAGTAGGGAGAATTACTAATGAGATCTTGGGAGTTAAAGGATGAATTAATGATCACGTGTGCATGCAACGGGAGAATTGAAAACACGATCGTAATAATTTAAATCAAGGATAGATTTTGAGTTTTGACGACACTTTTCTAACATTCTCACATTTTTATACATAAAGTTAATTTCCTACGTTCAGTTTTCGCATCCTAATTTACTGTAGTTCCCTATTGTTGGTATACTTTATAGATCAAACGGTTTAATTGCAGATTTTATTGTCACTGGCTTTCGATTAAGCCCTACCTACAAAAGCTTGAAAAACTGCTAAAAGAACTGAAAATGTCTTCGCAAAGTAATACCAGTGTTCATTGAAAGACAATGTACAGGAAGAAGAATCTTTGTGTAGGATCAATGGTCACTCTGTTTCTTCTCCGCCTCGTTGTTGTCCTCCTCGAGTTCTTCTTTCCTACAACATACATTATACATTTGTCAATATTTTAACTTTAAAGTAAACGGAACAGATTTCCAATAAATGAACTATTTTTTTCTTCAATGCCACTGGCTATGATTATCCAAACTTGTCGAACATACATAATTTATTGTTATTTTCACTATTTTTTTCAGATAAAATGATTTTTTTTAGCTTCTCAAGTTACCTCCATCGTCATAGCGTCCAGCATCGTATCGACCTTATGTAGTTATTTCTGAGTATTCGATACGAAAGAAACGCCAATACAAGCTAATCTTAGAAAGCGTTTGGTAAAAATCTTCTGGCTCCGAGCACTAGATCTCTTTCTTGGCATTTTATGGATGAAAGACAAAGACAAAAACAAACAAACAAAAATTACTAAAGTTTGAGTAACTAAACAAGTTAAATGTGTTGATCGGTTTCTCCTACAAAATTGCTCACTATAATCAGATTTACCCTTTTTCCATAAAATCAAATGTCACGTTATCCCCTATCAGCACAAACGGAGCCCATTGGGAAAGTTTGGGGAAACCATTGCTTCTCAACCATTGAATGGCCTGGTGAAGAGATTCACTCGCACTTTCTCCACGAACAAGGTGTTTATAGAAATGTTTCATGAGGTTCGCCGTTGCTTCGTCTTCTACAGCCCACAATGCTACCAACACTGAACGTGCACCGGATGCTAAGAATGCTCGAGCGATTCCAATAACTCCTTCCTTTTTAATCAATCCACGCCCACTGTGACAACAGCTGAGTACTACCAGTTTAGCTCGCACTTGAACACCGTCAATGTCGGACATTGTCAGGAGGTAGTCTTCCTCTTGTGGAATACCGTTAGCAGTACATAGAGGAGAGAGGGCAATCTCTCCTCTTTCGGCATTTCCATGTGCGGCAAGATGTATGAGACTCGCTCAGGGTACTGCTTCAAGAACCGCCGGCTTTGTTGCGCGACTTCCTAACAAAGGCTGAACGCCCAGTAGTTGACCAACCATCTCTGCTTCCTTCCTTGCATAGAACAATGAAGTAATGTCAGTGAGACGTCCATTGTAATGCACTTTGCCAACCGTAGGATCACCCACAACCAGTAAACCGGTTTGACTGTGATAGTCTGCTGGACATTCTTGAATGAGCCGGAGAGTCGTCAATGAAGGAACGATGCGTATTCTGTACTTCTCCGATAAATACTTTCCGGCTGGTTCATCACGCAAGGCAGCAAATGGGACTCGGTACGAGAAACGGTCCGGTACAATGATGATTTCGGGCTCTGTAAGTAAATCTGCCACAGGTGCGATGATCCATTGGTAGCACAAATGATGACTTCTTCCGGTATCTTTGGTTTCGTCACCTCGCAATTTTGCTTGGCTCTCTTCATGAAGAGATGTCGTCTCGTTGTCATCCAGCGATCGGTCTTCGCAGTTCGCTGCGGGTAAAACACCAAAGCAGGCGGCGCTCTTTTTGAAAACTCCTCCCACTTCGCAAACTTGCTCAGCAATAAGAGTCTCTAGTTTCACTTCGTCTGTTTTTCGAATGCAAATATCTCCATTTGGTTTCAATACCCAAAGAAGAACTTGCCGATCAATATACGAAATGTACAAAAAAACAGAGTTACTTTCTCTTTTCGCGATGTTTTCAATTCCGGACCATGAGTGTGGATCAGCTGAGATATGGCTTTCCACGGGGTACTTGTCTGCCATGAATTCCGAGAGGACTCTTGCTCGTCCCAGCTCCTCAACATAGAGAGCATCTCGAAACTTTCCATTACAACAAAGCAAGTCAGTGAGTAACTTGTAAGGAAAAGTACCGCGTTTCTCTAACAAAGAGATTTGAAATCCACTGTTTCCTTTCAGATGAGTTCTGATTTGTTCATATTTTCCAATACACTGAAGAAGATATTTCATCGCCTCCACAGCCTCCGACTGCAATATCTTTAACGTTGTAAGCCCGAGAAGGCTCTGAAACTCAGTCATTTTGTCTCCAATTTGGCTGCTTATGAAGCAAGCTTTCTGTAAATAATCTGCTGCCTTGCCACATTCACCAAATGACTGGAATAGTGCTCCAAGGCGAAGGTAAAGTCGTGCTTCGAACTCTCTATTGCCACATTCTCTGTTGATTGTGAGCGCCTTCTCACAATGTTCTTTTGCCTTCTGACTGTCATTCACAGAAGCAGAGACATGTGCCAAACATACACTAGCCAAGGCTTCTAGTTCTCTGTTACCAATTGCAATACTGACGCGGACTGCTTCCTTCAAATGTTTTTTAGCTTGCAAGTTTTCATGAAGCTGAGCGTAAACATTTCCAAGTTTCAAGTATGCTAGGCCTTTTCCTTTCCTGTCCCCAATTTTTGTTGCGATGGCAAGTACTTTCTCTTGATATTCTTTAGTCTTCTCATATTCGCCAAGAGAATGAAACACACTTCCGAGGTTCCCGTATGTTGTTCCTTCTCCATTTCTGTCGCCAATTTCTATTGCGATGGCAAGTGCTTTCTCGTAATATTCTTTAGCCTTCTGATATTCGCTAAGGGAATGAAACACATTACCGAGGTTCCCGTATGTTGTTCCTTCTCGATTTCTGTCGCCAATTTCTATTGCGATGGCAAGTGCTTTCTCGTAATATTCTTTAGCCCTCTGATATTCGCCAAGGCAATGAAACACATTACCGAGGTTCCCGTGCCTTGTTCCTTCTCCATTTCTGTCACCAATTTCTATTGCGATGGCAAGTGCTTTCCCGTAATATTCTTTAGCCTTCTCATATTCGCCAAGGGAATGAAACACATTTCCGAGGTTTCCGTGTCTCGTTCCTTCTCCATTTCTGTCGCCAATTTCTATTGCGATGGCAAGTGCTTTCTCTTGATATTCTTTAGCCTCCTCATATTCGCCAAGAGAATGAAACACATTTCCGAGGTTCCCGTATGTTGTTCCTTCTCCATTTCTGTCGCCAATTTCTATTGCGATGGCAAGTGCTTTCTCGTAATATTCTTTAGCCTTCTCATATTCGCCAAGGGAATGAAACACATTACCGAGGTTCCCGTGCCTTGTTCCTTCTCCATTTCTGTCACCAATTTCTATTGCGATGGCAAGTGCTTTCCCGTAATATTCTTTAGCCTTCTCATATTCGCCAAGGGAATGAAACACATTTCCGAGGTTTCCGTGTCTTGTGCCTTCTCCATTTCTGTCGCTAATTTCTATTGCGATGGCAAGTGCTTTCTCTTGATATTCTTTAGCCTCCTCATATTCGCCAAGAGAATGAAACACATTTCCGAGGTTCCCGTATGTTGTTCCTTCTCCATTTCTGTCGCCAATTTCTATTGCGATGGCAAGTGCTTTCTCGTAATATTCTTTAGCCTTCTCATATTCGCCAAGGGAATGAAACACATTACCGAGGTTCCCGTGCCTTGTTCCTTCTCCATTTCTGTCACCAATTTCTATTGCGATGGCAAGTGCTTTCCCGTAATATTCTTTAGCCTTCTCATATTCGCCAAGGGAATGAAACACATTTCCGAGGTTTCCGTGTCTTGTGCCTTCTCCATTTCTGTCGCTAATTTCTATTGCGATGGCAAGTGCTTTCTCTTGATATTCTTTAGTCTCCTCATATTCGCCAAGAGAATGAAACACATTTCCGAGGTTCCCGTATGTTGTTCCTTCTCCATTTCTGTCGCCAATTTCTATTGCGATGGCAAGTGCTTTCTCGTAATATTCTTTAGCCTTCTCATATTCGCTAAGGGAATGAAACACATTACCAAGGTTCCCGTATGTTGCTCCTTCTCGATTTCTGTCGCCAATTTCTATTGCGATGGCAAGTGCTTTCTCGTAATATTCTTTAGCCCTCTGATATTCGCCAAGGGAATCAAACACACCTCCGAGGTTCCCGTATGTTGTTCCTTCTCCATTTCTGTCGCCAATTTCTATTGCGATGGCAAGTGCTTTCTCGTGATATTCTTTAGCCTTCTCATATTCGCCAAGGGAATGAAACACATTACCGAGGTTTCCGTATGTTCTTCCTCCTCCATATCTGTGGCCAATTTCTATTGTGATGGCAAGTGCTTTATCGAGATATTCTTTAGCCTTCTGATATTCGCCGAGGGAATAAAGCACAGCTCCGAGGCTTCCGCATGTTTTTCCTTCTCCATCTCTGTCGCCAATTTCTATTGTGATGGCAAGTGCTTTATCGAGATATTCTTTAGCCTTCTGATATTCGCCGAGGGAATAAAGCACAGCTCCGAGGCTTCCGCATGTTTTTCCTTCTCCATCTCTGTCGCCAATTTCTATTGTGATGGCAAGTGCTTTATCGAGATATTCTTTAGCCTTCTGATATTCACTGACGCTATCACAGACAATACCAAGTCTAAGATGAACCGCTACTTCTTCTCTTTTGTGACCAATTGTTTTCCAGATGTTGAGCGCGCCTTTATAGAGTTGCTTTGCCTCTACAAACCGGCTTTGTGCTTGATATTTGTCTCCTAGTTCTCTAGTTAGTCTCCCAGCATGGTTAAATGTGTCGAGAAGTTTGGTGGCTCGTCTTTCCGCACATGTGTAACCAGAGATCGCGTGACTACCAGAGTACAGGTTTTGAAGTAGAATTACACATTCATTACATAACTCAGTCACTTGCAGGCCACGATCAGTGTTCAGAAGAAATATGACGACATTTAAACCTATCTGGACTGATTTTAGGATTTCTACAGCGTCACTCATAACGGCTCTCTCCTGTTTGTTGTCGTATGAAAGAATCAACAAAATCAGTGCTCTGTGAGCAAACTCGTGAATTGACACATGATTTTTTGGATTATGTTTAATGTTATCTGGTTTGGGGAATTTTGTGGTTGATTGTCATATCTAGAGTTGGAGCAGTAGTTCAGTGTTCGCTAATGTAGCAAAGAAATAAAGTAACGTTGGGATAAGAAGGCATTACAATTGAAATGATCATGCTATTACATTTGACAAGGGTGGATGATGTCGTGTTTTAAACGTATATCATTTTTGTTTCTGGTTCAAAAGAAAAGGTTGGAAATAAATGTGGGTGAAAAGTGAAATTTACTGTCTATCATTGTAAATATTAGAAAATCAAGGCAATACTGTCTTAATGAAAACATCAACGATTCCCTCTTTATCAAATGAGACAAACGGGAACGATTTTTGAGTGATATAGCTAAGCCAAGACTGCCACCGTCATCTTAAATTTCCGCCTGAGTAGATTTTAGTCACGTGCTAGGAATGTATAATCAAGAACAAGATAGAATTTCATTTCAGGCTTATTTATCAATTTTGTGGTGTATAACTTTCGCATTTTAGTACGTAATATTTATTTTGAATCTTCAAATTGTCTTGAAACCTAAAAGAAAATTGTTCTTCAAAAATTCACTGAAAATCGGTAGCTAAAATTGTTTGTTTAGGTGTTATTTGATTTTCGTGTTAACTTATAATTTCGTCAGTCGCCGGCATCTTCTGTTGCTTCACACATGAAAACACACGATACGAAACGTAAGGATCGATTTTGTCCTCCATCTCACACCATATATAACAGAAAAAGCTTTTGAACATCTGTAAACTCCGAGCGCTTTGCAGTAAGTGATATTTTCAATTAATCTTCGGACTGTTTTCAAGTTCAAGGATTGTAAATTACAATTTTATGAAAAACGAAGGTTGTTCTGTTATTTCAGTGTGAATCCTTGCATGCCTGCCAGTCGCTGGCGCCGCTTGTTGAAACTAAAACGAAAAAAAACTCTTTTAAGATTATCATCGGCTTCTTTTTCACCCCACCGCTATTCTTAGCAACAAAGGTCGCCATTTCGTTTGTTTATTGCTCGCCAAAATCTATCAAATGCGCTCAAAAGCCTAAAATCGAAAAAAAGTTTACAGGAATCGACCAATCGAGCGAGCGAGTACCACTCTCCACAACATATCTACAACTTGCTCTTGCGCATGCGCGCAATTCACTAGTTAAAAAGGAAGCTTAGAAAAAGTAACACTAACAAATGTTCGAGTTTCTGAGCTGTTTTTAAAGAATTTGTAGTTATCTTCCTTTTCACAAATGTCTGAGCGCAACATTCCTTTTTCATTCTTTTTTTTAAAACCTCAAGTGTATCATCTTGGTTCAAATTTCAGTAATCGTAGAGCAGATTTGGATAAAGCTATCAAAAAAAGTTTCACCAGTAGAACAGCGGTTAATTGATCAATTGCGTCGAGTTTGCATTCTTGTAAAAGGGTTTACACGTGACGCGTGAATGAGGCTAAAACTGATACGTGAAACGTGAATTTTAATGAAAGGCGAGCGTGATTCGTGAATTTATGAACCAAAGTGGGACGTGATTTGCCTCCTGATATATACGTGACCCATCAATTTCTTCTTTCATTTCGTGAAAACATCAAGATTTCCCAGAAACACAAGAACAGAGACTTGAAGGTTTCCCTTTTCTAAACGTGAAGCGAGAATTTTTCCAAAACATTCGTGCGCAAAACACGATCAGGATCTCCACTTTGCCGCTGGACAAATTTGACGGACATAAATCCAACAAAAAATATATTTGCATTCTACCATTAAACAAAGTATAAAACCATTCAATTGTGCCCAGATGAAGATATTTGTTTAAGATTTGTATTGGTATTTCTAACTGTTTGCCCCCATAGAGATCAAGCCGGCATGTCAGTCTTAGAAACTCGCTTAATTAATTTGAGATTAAGAAATTAGAACATGTAAGTGTTGTCAATGATTAATCACCCATCAGTTATTTTAAAAATTAAAAAACACACTTCTTAATTTTAATACAGCATAAATTTGGGCAAAGAGCAAAGATTCTATCCAGCGTTTTAACCTATTACATAATATTTTTTTGTTTGTTTTTTCAGACGAAGAAAAATCTTCCTATTTCACTCAATTACATACGTGTTACTTCAGTAGCTCATGTACCAACTTCTCCAAATTTTTGTTGCATTAAATAATGTCAAACAATTCAAAACATTTTAACACATAATGCTTTTGAAATGAAAAGATCTTTGGATAGTTAGGAGACCAAAATGGCGAAACTTATTAAATTTTTTTCTGCAAATCAATGAAGAATGCAAAGAGTTAGTATTAGATTGAATAGGAACATTATCGGTTAAAAGTAATCATTGTAAACCTAATAAGGATGAAACTTGCATTACAGCTTGTCCACAGGATATCTTAATAAATATTGGAGCTCACATATCATTGATAAAAGTTTGGTGGTTTTAATTTCTCTTTGCCCAATTTTTTAAAACCTTCAGGTTACAGAAGTGACAAACATGTTGCTTCTCTTTTGAATATCAACATATTATTCAGTAAAGAAGCGGCGAGAATGCTTATCAGCTGAGGGTTTCTGTTTACACAACATTAAATTCTCGCTACTGACTAACAAAGTAATGTGAGGGAGCTAGACGGAAGAATTGCTGATGAGATCATAAATTCAAAAGATTAAGATGATGCAGACCTTAAATATTTTGCAATCAAATCAAAACTTGATTCGACTTTGGAAGGTCTCCACAAATATTATCAGGTGGTTCGGAATGACAACTCTTTTATCTCTGAATTTGCTCAATTTTAGCCAGAAATGTATTTTTTTAAGGCGGGAAAAGAATAACTATTATTAAATTTAGTTTTTTAGCTGGTAACCTTTTCAAAAATAAACACGCTTTGTTTGGGCGATGAGACCGAAAGTGGCGAAAAACAAAGGTAAATGCAAGCAGCACGTGTGAGAACAAAGTGCTAAGTTTGATCAGTCTAAGACAAGAGATTATAAACTGCAGTTGATAATCTCTTGGTGTGAGATATATCTATACTTGACTTTCTGTTTCGCCCGCAGCATCGCTGAAAAATATTGTAGCCCTTAAAGAGAGAGAGAGAGAGAGGGAGAGAGAGAAGGACTGTAAACTAATATTTTCTTTATTTATGCAGCTTACCCTTAAACAAGGAAGTGTATCTTATTTCGTATTCTGATCGAATAACTGAGGAAGTCGAGAGTAAGAAACTAAAATAACACTTTCCCTGCAAAACAGAGATGAATGGCAATCTTACAAGTGGAAAAAAGTTAACAGCTTTACTGCTAAAACAAAAAATCGTTTAGAAGACCTAAAACAGAACTACGTCGTTTCCAACTTCCACGTAATTTAAATAAAAACATGGCATCTTCGTGTTCTTTTTTTTTTCATAAATTTCAGATTTAAAAATCTGAATTTCCCGTTCATGCATCGTGTGTCTACTTTTACTCTTTCACTCTCAGACTCTGACACTTAAGAATTGTTTAATGTGCAATTTCTCCCTACAGTATCAATATATTCTTCAGCCAACAGTTTTGGATAATAAAGAAACTTATCAGTTGGACGGTGTCAAATTGACGCAACACTTCATTCTCTTAAAATAATTACTGCGATATTTGTAACATTTGCTAAGGAGACTTAGTAAGATGATGGAAGTTAAAGGCTTGAAGTTGAGTTCATCATTTTATTTTGCAGACTGTTTTTAGCAACAAATCTTTGCCAAATTCTAAGATTATTTCGAGGTTTAAGTCCTCTAGCTTTGAAACATTTCAGTTTTGCAAAGCGGGAAAGATTGTTTCTAAATATATTTTTTTACTACTAACATTTTACACAAGAAGCTTGTCTTGTTTGATATTCTAGTCGTATAACTGATGAAACCAAAAGTAAGAAACTGAAATAAGAGTTTCTCTGCAAAACAAAGATGAGCGGAAGTAGCCATTGTAAGAAAGACGTAAACACTTCTCTAAAATAGAAGTAAAATAGGTGAAAAAAAATTGATGAACAGAAGAGGAACAAACGGTTACCAAGGGTAAAGATTGAGTTTGATTTGTATAGAACCAAAAAAAGCCGTTTAGGAACCTGAAAATCAATCGCTCATCATCTTCTCCATAAATTAAGCGCACATGGCTAAATTATCAAATAGACTAGATTTCCCCGCCTTGAATTAGTTTGAAATTTAGAAATACTGTGCGATTTGAATATGCTCTGCGTTACAATCGACACTGGAAAATGTTAAGCTACTTAGGACGACCGAGGAAACAACATTAGACGAGCCGGACAAAACGGAGATTTGATTTGATTTTCAATTTGGAATGTCCTTATTTTATCCATTTTTTACATTAGGAACACTAACAACAGTTACCGTCTTTCTAAATCTCAAAACTTGTTTTGCCGAAGATAACTGACCCCGCGCGTGAAACGCAATGTGTACATCGTGTTAACATTTGTAAACTACTCATGACGTTTTAGGGCACAGGTTGGGCATGCCTAATTGATTAAAATCACATAGGCGGTTTGATTGTTAGCCAACTGATGGATAGGTATGAATGAAACGAATTTGACTCAACACGGCAGAAGTACCGATATTAATGCGTTAGAGATTTTTTTTTCTCTAAGGGATACGAAGAAAATTTTGAAAAAAAAAGGAATTTATTAAGAACGACGTCCTTTTATAATGATTTATGTTTTGTAAGAATATTAACCAATATAGTAATGGTCTATGTTAGAGCTGCTATGATTATAGAGGCTCTGAAATATGAATTGGAAAATTGATGAGAAGTCGCATTAATATATCAGCACATTAACAATTAAATATCGTTCGTACCTCGACACTGAACGCTTTCTTGCTTTGTGTAGTGAAGCAGCCAAATTTTTAAATTGGAAACCGCAGCATGTGTCTATTTTACGGTTATATGCACGTG